GGCGCCAATATATAAAAGTGGACAAGACAAAGCTTGTTGATATGAAAGGTGCAAGAAGAGGTACTTTTGACAAGCTGTGTGCCGAGATGGTAAAAACACACCCCTCAGAAATTCATTAAATGTGGTGGAATTTGATGTCGTTCACTAATTTCCAATGTCCCCCATTGAATTGTTCACAAAGTGTAAATTATAGGATTATGTTGGAGAGGGAGTTATTATTGTCAGGAAAATAAATATCACGTTTATGTAAAATTGATTATTTCATGTTTTATATATCTATAGTTGAGTCCACCTTGTTGTTGTTGTTGTTGTTGTTGTTGTTGTGTGCACATGTTCTCTGGTCCCATGATAGTACCAAGCCCTGAAATATGTGTTTAAAATTAATGTTGTGAAATTATAACATGCCTTTCTTGTAAAGCATATCACATTATGATATATAATGTTTTTATGCGCTTCCAGAGAACTTTGGATATTATTACCCCGGCTTTAGCTCCGGCTACCGTATATCGCTCAGTGCATTCAAGGAATTAATCCTACGAGGTACCCACTTACTAAACCTGGGTTGAGTGTGGCAAATGTACTCCTTGGTCTTACCAACTAACATTAGTGCCGTGGCGGGATTCGAAACCCGTGCCTTGTTGTTCACAATCCGATGACTTATCCACTAGACCGTAATTTGTCTAGATTACAAAATTGCCTAGGTGGGGGAAGGGCTTTTCTTATGCAGTGTTTAGACAATATTCTGTACGATCATCTTGTTTTTGTTTTAAGGTGAAAAGAAGTTTAAGCAATCTAAAAGATATCAGTCATGGATCATGAATGACTTAGAGAGATCTTTTGAAGGTGAGCATGACTTCTTCTGTTTCATACGTTGACTCAATTTCATTAATCTAAGTTTTGAAATTGATAATTAAAAAGTATTCCGTTTTGTGAATTTGCACTCATGCCGGATTATGTCATTACACTCACCAGCTTGTCCAATACCTGTGTATCTTACTCAGTGCTATTCGATTAAAAAAATAGTTATCAAGGAGAATATACTGAAGCATTAAAAGTCATAGTGGTCTAGTGGATAAGTCGTTGGACTGTGGATCACAGAGTCCGCGGTTCGAGTCCCACCACTAATGTCCTTTGGCAATATAATAATCTACATTTGCCAATCTCCACCCAGGTGTTAAATGAGTTGTTTTTTTACCGGTAGGAAAGAATTCCTTGAATGCTGTGAGCGTCCAAATCGGCCGCCTAGCAGAGCCGGGGTAATAGTTGGAGCGCCATGCATGGTGGATTATTATGTGCGCTATATAAATATCAAATATTATTATTGTTATCATTGGAAACTTTGAAGCTCTTTCCAGAAAACACACAAAACAATATGCATGTTTTATTATGATTAATTGGCGGTTTTATTGGCTCAATCTTGTTAATCTAAGTTTTGGAACGAATACTACAAAAACTGTACTCACATTTTACACTCATGCTGACTTGTAAAAAAAACATTAGTCAAGAGGAATATAGATATACTGGAGTAAACCACAAGTGCTATGCTTGTACATCATAGAAAACTTAGAATCTGGTTTCAGAAAATACTCAAAACACATTTTTCTTTTGCTCAATCTATATGGCTTATAAGATTATATGTATTCTTTAGTATCGCTTTCTGTCCTCATGATGTTGATGAATATAAAAAAGTAAAAATACCTGGAATTTTACTTTGGTGGCACGTGTTTGTTTTGTTGCACGTGTGAATATTTATTTTGAGATATTGTTTTCGACTCTTCCAAGTGCACCATAATTATGTTCAGAACAAACACATTTTACAACAATAATACAGGATCAAATTTCAGAATTTAGTCAAATTCTTGGAAATTGACAATTCAACATGACAATCCTTGTACATGTACTCATAGATTATTACATATTGTTTTCGACTCTCCAAAGTACACCATAATTATGTTCAGACAAACAACACATTTTACAACAATAATACAGGAGAACATTTCAGAATTTAGTCAAATTCTTGGAAATTGACAATTCAACATGACAATCCCTGTACATGACTGTACTCATAGATTATTACTTTTCACTGGCATAAACCCACATTGCAAGCAATAACATTTACATTTCAGGCAATGATTCTACATTACAAACTCTGGAATGGTGGATACCTGTGGTGTAATCTTGAATACAATTGATGTACATGACGATGAGGCCATCTTAAGCCCCTTCCTAGTTGGTGGGGGGGGGGGGGGGGCAAAGAACTTCAGTACTGACGTTTCTTCCCGTGATGTAAAATAGATATTTCAACAATTGATGTGGGAAGATGATGATGTGATGATGGTGACTATAATGTTCATGCTCATGATGATGAAGATTATGCTTGTGGTGGTGATGATGATAATGATGATGAGCAATAACCATAAACTATAACTATTCCACTTTAATCAAAGCTTCTTACACATACCATATTTAAATCAAAATCCAAAACTATATCTGTATGTGTGCATTGCCCACATTCTTACCCTTGTTAAATGTTATTACAAGATCATAATAATCATGAATTTAGAAGAAGAAAAAATAATCATGTATATACATGTACATCCAATAATATGAGTGTAACCCGAATGTCACAATTTCCCAGGTCCATAAATAAAGAAATTACACTTGAGGTTACGTTTTAACAAAATAACCTGGCAATGCCTTTATTAGCTCGTTGTCAATAACAACTGCAAATCAAGTAAACATTGAAATAAACAAAACTTCCACAACTTACAACTATAACATTATAAGGTATTATAACTTATAACTAAACCGATTATTATCTAAATATTAAAGTAACCAAATTATTAAATGTTCGTGAACTCGCGTCTCTGTGTCGTTGAAGGGACGTCGCAGCACGCAGAACACAGGAACAAGTTGAACGATAGCTTGAAGCTTGATGAATTTCATCAATTAAAAGACTCTTGTACAAGTCCTAGTAAAAGACTGATCTAGTGAAAGATCCACCTAGTAAAAGATCCGCCTAGTAAAAGAGCATAATAAACAGAACTCTTCTAATAAAACATTCCTTAACAGAGGGAAAGATAAATACATATACATATATATATATATATATATATATATATATATATATAAACAAGCTCGTCCCTCAATAGATTAAATAAGAAAAGAATGAGAGTTTGCCTCTTGATTTATCTAATTAACTTTTGGAAGAATCAATGTGATTCTGTCAACTTAGTTTACTCAGTTATACTTATAACTTAGTTTAATTCATGATTAACATGATACAATCCTTTTCAAATAGTACTTATCCCACGTTAGTAATAAATAAAATATGTATACATCACAATAATTGCATGCAATGAAGATAGCATAATGCACCAACTGTTCAGTAGAGTTTTCATTCATATCATTATGAGCTATAATGAATGCGATAGGGATGCCACAGATAGATAGCTCGATCTATCTGATTGACCTGACCATATCGCTTGATTTAGAATTTGCCAAAATAACATTTGACTTTTACAATTAATGGAAAAGTCCAGCAATTGAATATGCATAATAATGCTCCACGCTGCGCATAACCATAATGAACAGCAAGTACACATTACCAGTAAATCAGTAGATAAGGTTAGTAATCTTATCTACAACCAAGTATCTCAAACCACCAAATTTAGTGAGAGTTCAATGACCTCTAGCACGAGTTGCCATTACCCTAAATAAAAGCCAATTATCTTTCAGCATGGGCTATTTTAGGGCTCGCATGCTATGCAGTATAATAACTGCAAAATAATCTCCCATAATAATCTTTTCTTCTCATTTAACTGAATTGTTTGATCAGCAGAAAGAATCAATCTTGTATAACACACATCTGAATTAAAAAGTTATAGAATGTATGCTACAGTCTCAAACTACGCTCAGAGCCATACAAGCAAAATATAGATATCATCATGATATACACACACTTCATACAACAGAGTAATGAAAACATACATAGCAAATATAGTGTTCTTACCTAGTAAAAGAGCCAACACTTGCTTGCAATATAAAATCAGGAACTGGGATGATAAACATGCAACTCATAAAGGTTGAAGTTGGATGAAATGCCCAATCAAATATAACACAGGAAACTCTCTCAAAACTTAGAGAAACTTGAAGAAGGTAAAGTTGATATATATACGTTTTTGTATATATATATATATTTTGAAGAAGAAAATCAGATAGAGGCTACAGATATATTTAGTAGCACATGCTCCAACATGGAGATTGAATATATACAGGGCAGTGTTCGAAGCAATGGCAGCTGGGCAGAGAATGAGCTGGAAACTTAAAGTTTCAAAGTTTTATTAAACTGTCCAGACCCACATTACCCTTCCTTCCAACTAGACTTCTTATTGGTTACCTAACATCATGTGATAGGACCAAGCTTGCATCCTTAACTAAAACGACTCATCCTTTGTCTCAAACCCAATACTCCAAGCCAGCTCTCTACAGCATGGTCTTAAAGCTTGTCTTTTCTTAGTACAACCACTTTAAAACTATACTTCTCCTGAATACAGAGATTAACAGTAGCAACATCCTGAAGGGACACAATCTACCTGCAAACACCACTTAAGTAAAGAGGGTCCTATTAAAGGGAATAGACAAAGGGGAAAGGGCACCGAATTCTGTGGGAGACAATATAATCCCAAACACTGTGTCCAGTGTTATTGATGGTCAAAGCTCTAGCAAATAAGCTATCTACCAGCAATAGTTCTTAAACTGGGAGAAGAAAATAATCTGGGTGAGAACAAACCTATATTGCACTAAACTGCATAAGGAGCACAAAGCAGAGTTTGTTTCTTAGAAGTATGAGATGAAATGAATGGATACAAAGAGAGAGAGATAGAGAGAGAGAGAGACAAGAGAGAGAGAAAGAGAGAGAGAGAGAGATAGAGATAGGAAAAGAATAAATAACAAAATATGATTTTAGTAACTGCCATTTTTATGGGGGTTACATGAGTAATGTCCAAAAGCTATTATCCCATAATCAAAGCTTCTTACACAAACCAGATATAAAATAAAAACCAATGCTATGAATGTATTCATGCATTGCCCCCACTCTTATCCTTGTTAGAAGTTATTACAAGATCACAATAATCATGAATTTAGAAGAAAATATATATACATCCAACAATATGAGCAATAACCATAAACTATAATTATCCCATCATAATCAAAGCTTCTTTAATGCACAACCAGATATAAAACAAAAACCAGGACTAGGTCTGTTACATTACAGTTCAACTGTACTGTATCAATTTACTAAGATGTGAAGTAGGATAGCATGTTTGGTCCTACGATGTACTAGAGTTGTCATGGTTACTCGGGTTACATCGATTTTAGCGATTCCTCGGCCTTTTTAACCGCCTGGAGTATTGTGGGAGAGAAATAGTAGGAGTAAAACATTGTAATTTTGGTTTGAATTGATTTTATTTGATTGATTTTATATATTTCTATATCAGCTTTTAAGACATACATAGTCATGTGTACTAATGAGACATTAATATATTTTTTCATAAACCAGTAGAAAAGGTAAGAAATTGAGTTATATGAATAATGTAGATCAGTCTTAGATACACATGATTTAGGAAGGCTACATCATAAGCACGAAGGGTGATGATGTGCTTTTTATTAATTTTGTATTATATTTTGCAACCAAAAGGTTGGATCCCAAATACAAATTAGAAACACGGAGCGATACTTAATAATCAGACGATGGTAGAAATTATTTACACAATGAACTTATATAGAGTAAACAAAGTGGCTACAATCAAAAGATTACACATTATCAAATACATTTTATGCTAGACCTAGATGACAGCTTTGGGGTATAATATTGCACAAAACATAAAAAAATAGGTAAGGGAGACATTACTTAAGCAAAATACAATTAATTTATTATTAAAGGGAAATGATGATAGATCAATGGAATAAAGAAAGCACAGGTCAGAAACATGGCAAAGATTGATTTGGAGAGCATTACCGCATGTACTTCTCACACACCTAATACATCCTTCTGACTTTCAACAGACATCCAATCTTGTTAAATACTCTGCAAGCACTCTATACGGTATCGATCATTTATATAAAAACTTGTTCACTAAAGCCGAGTTGCAGCCCTCAGTTTAACTCAAAAATATGTATAAAAGGGAGGGAGCGACTTGCTATATTAAGAGAGTAACTCTGAATTGTTTGTCATACAAGAGACATAGGTTGTTTAGAGTGGTAACATTTAAACAACCTAAAACAATCAGGAAATAACATTCACAGTAAAACTTTACTCCTATTCGCACATTTTAGACCATATCCACGGGATATCTACCTCTCTTTCCTTGTTTCTTTTCTATACTCATCGCTCTAACTTTTGTCTACCTTATAATTTGGCAGATAATTAAAAAACAGAAGAGAATGACAGGAAAGGAAGAGAGAAAGGAAGGAAAAGAAGTTCCAACCAACAGTAATAGAAAGAAGGAGAGATAACGCTCTAGATTATAAAAGAGAAGGAAAATAAAGGAATATATGAGTATATTTGATATGTCAATAACTTGAGAGAGAGAAGGAGATATCCTCAAACATAAAGAGAAAAAAGAAATTAGATAATAAAATGAGGAGAGACAAAGATCAAAAGTGGATAGGGAATGTAAATGATATTATTCATGTGGAATTAAACCCCCATATTTGTTTTCAACAATTTTGTAAAGACTGACTGTATAGAAAAAGTTGTATAATTATGCTCTTATGTGTACATTAAACATATAAATTTAAAATAAGCTCTTCAAAAAAATTACATAATCATTTCTTAAGGACTTACCAACCGATCTACATTTAACTTACCTCTTTATCTTCCTCCGTTTTGACATCATAATTAAGAAGCTTTTTCAGATAAACAGCTTCCGACACCTTGTCACCCATTTTTTCATATGTCTTGCCTATCATATACTGATTCATGCTGTAGAAGTTGGGCGAAACTAGAATTGACAAAGCAGAACAAATTAAATGTTTTGAATCATCATTAAGTATTGTTTTATGCCCCCCCCCCAACAAAACAAAATAATAATACTGTTGTCTATATTGCCTAGGATTAGCAAAATGTATAAGATTTTATAATATAAATTCAACTTGGATCAAAAATATTTTTACTCACTCATCTCTGCAGCAAGAAACATTGTCAGAGCCTACAAAGAGAGACAATAAAAAAGCATATGATTTTTATTTTTTGCTGATACAACTTGCTCCTTGAAACACAATCCCCAACGTAGCCGCCCACTAGGACTTGTACACTAACATCTACAAACATACACCTAGACAACTCCCCCTCCCACTCAACAGTAACTGTTAAATAAAATATGACAAGACATATTGGCTCCGTCGGTATAAAAGTGTCTGCCTTCGAAACCAAAGATTGTGGGTTCAAAACCAAACCCAGGCAGATGACTAAAGCCTTTGTTGTTTGTTAACGTGGCCCTTCCCTATTCCATAGACTCGGGCTAGGTTATGGTGGACGACATCCCGTCCCTCGGATAGTATGTTAAACGGAGGCCCACTGTAAAAAGAGTCACTGACCATTCTTTCTTTTAGGGTAGAGGGTTCTCCACTGTAGAGGCACACTTGCTTATCATGAATCATTCTTACAGGATGTAGAGTCGACGGATTATATTGATTACTGTTAGTTCCCTTTTCCATTTCCAGACACACGTGATGCTAAATTAATAATTTACAAAATAATGGTGTGACTCTAGCTGGGCAGTGTGTACAGTGGGCTATTGTTCGTGGATGAGGTGTGGTGGGGGTTATGTCAGAATGAGTTCCTGCCACAAAGTTGGAATAGGGTCAAAGTCATTCATTCTCTGGTCATCCTTGCTGTCTTTAATAGCAGCTACATGAAATATATAAAGACATCAAGTCATGCTTTAAAAAAATGAAATACCTTTTCATATGTTACAGAAGGAGGTGAACCAAAGACAACGGCAGCAATTTTCCTCTCGTACCATGCCATATCTGCATATGTGTAATACCTGGAAAAAGTAAATAAACAAGATTCATCTAGCCATGTTGAGCCCTCTGCACTGACTCACTGACTGCCATCCAATTTCGCGAGAATTACTACATCATTAGAGACACTTATATCAATTCATTTAAAGTATGGAAGATATCACCGACTGAGTTTCTAAAAGTCAAATAAATAGTAAACTTGTAATAACATAGATGCATGACATATTGGATGTCCTTGGCCGGAGGGAGCGATATCTGCAAATATTTAGCATGTGATAGAATCATAATGCCCCGAGTCAAGTATGAGGACAATATGGTTCTAGCAATGGGCAATATGGTTCTAGCAATGGGCAATATGGTTCTGGCAGTGGACAATATGGTTCTAGCAATGGGCAATATGGTTCTAGCAATGGACAATATGGTTCTAGCAATGGACAATATGGTTCTAGCAATGGGCAATATGGTTCTAGCAATGGACAATATGGTTCTAGCAATGGGCAATATGGTTCTAGCGATGGGTAATATGGTTCTAGCAATGGGCAATATGGTTCTAGAAATGGACAATATGGTTCTAGCAATGGGTAATATGGTTCTAGCAATGAACAATATGGTTCTAGCAATGGGCAATATGGTTCTAGCAATGGACAATATGGTTCTAGCAATGGACAATATGGACAATATTTCGCGCTGACACGGATGCTGACGCCGGAATCCTCTCGTCTTCTGTGTCCTCTCTGGACTCCCTTCACCTCAAATATGTCACGTGCCGTGGGACAGGGTGCGTACTGCCAACGGCGGAACATGCATTCCCTCGTTGGCTTAATTGAGTCGGCCTACCAGCCTTCCGCCATGAACTCCCGAGTCCCCTCCGTGATTACTTCCAGTTTCGGGACGATCTTTATACAGTTGATGGAGTTGTGCTTTACAAGGACCGCATCGTTATCCCCCCCCCCCCCTTCTCTCAGGGAGGAAGTGCTGACCCACCTCCATGCTGCCCACCAAGGGGTCACCTCCATGACCGCCAGGGCAGAGGCATCTGTCTTCTGGCCCGGCATCACCCCCCTGTCATCTCCACCCTCCGTGCTAGATGCGACCATTGCAATCGGATTGCGCCGTCCAACCCTAGTTCGCCGCCAACTCCGCTGACTTCCCCGTCTACCCATTCCAATGTATTTGTGCTGACTTCTTCCATTACAAAGGCTGCAATTACCTGGTTGTCGTCGACCGATACTCCAACTGGCCAATAGTTGAGAGATCTACCCACGGCGTAGATGGCCTCACCGCTTGCCTGCGACGCATCTTTGTCACATTCGGCATCCCTGACGAGCTGGCCTCAGATGGTGGCCCCGAATTTACAGCAGCAGTCACACGTCGATTCCTACAGGACTGGGGTATCCATCATCGCCTTCCCTCCGTGGCATACCCCCATAGCAACTGTCGCGATGAAGTGGGTGTACAGACCATCAAGCGCCTTCTCCTGGACAACACCAGCCCTACCGTGCCCTTGACACTAACGCATTCCAATGCTTCAGTACAGGAACACGCCTGACAGGGACACCAAGCTTTCGCCCGCCATGTGCGTATTCGACCATCCCATTCGGGACTTCATTCCGGTGGCGCCCGGCAAATACGAGCCTCACCGCACTTGGCGTGAGACCTTTGCGGCTCGGGAAGATGCACTGCGCAATCGCCACATGAGAAGTGCTGAACGCTGGTCAGAGCACACCAAGCAACTTCCGCCCCTTACAGTTGGTAACCATGTTCGCGTACAGAACCAGATGGGACCCCACCCCCTTAAATGGGACAAGACTGGGGTCGTGGTCGAGGTCCGCCAGTTCGACCAGTCCGTGATCCGCATCGACGGCTCCGGGAGAGTTACAATACGGAGCAGGAAGTTCCTGAGACAGTATGTTCCAGTGTACCCGCGCCCACTCCTTTAGTGATGGCCGGTGACTTTGGCACAACTCGTCCGAGTACTCGACAGCCCGTCCTGCGGCCAGACCTAGGGGCCCTGCCGCGTCCTACTGAACAGCCTGGGGATCCCGCTTCAGGCCCTGAAACAGCCCTACCCCTGGTGCCACCATTGACGTGCCATGACACCCCTGCCACCAGCCAGCCGGGACCTGTCATGCCCCCTGCCCGGGCAGCTCCAATGACCCATGTCGCTTCTTCTGGAACGTCCCATATATGGCCCGCCCCGTCGTCCTCTTCGCCCTTTGTGGTCGTTCCTGTCCCTTCGTCTGTCGACACGCAGTTGCCGTCGCTCACACCCGTCGGACGGGCCAGTGCTCCTCCTAGGCGATCTACCCGTCGCCCAGCCAAACCTGTCTGGCACTCAGACTATGACAGGTGACATTGACACTCGAAAATAGTTTGCCTTATGTCTTTAATTCTTTAACTGATTTTTGGCTATCGCATTTCTCGTTTTGCTAGATTTTGATGATATTCCGTCACGGTCGTGTTAGGTTTCGTTTTAGCCTGGTCCGCGTTCACGTTTATTGTTCTTTCATTTTACTTGTCATTGGTTCGTATTTTAAGTCTTTGTCGCACTTTTAGCCTTTCGTTTCGTTTTGCACCAAAGACTTTGGGGGAGATAGAGGATCATGTTATAGTTTGATCTTAATTAAGGGTATCGTCCTTTTATCTTATTTGTTTACAGACCGTGATCATTGTTGAAGTCTACTGATCGACTCACACAAATAGCCGATCTAATTTAGAGGTGACCCGACATTTTATCCTGTTGCTCTACATTGATTTCCTGCACTATGCTTACCTTTAACTCTGGACCCAACATTATCCCTAGCCCTATAACCTTTAACCTAACCTAAAATCTTAAAACCCTAATCCAGGGCGGATCTAGCTTTATGCCAAGGGGGGGGGGGGGGGGAGGGTTGACCCAGTGGCGAATCCAGGATTTTCCAAAATCGCGCCGTTTTAACTGTTTTACTTTTTTCTTTCTTAACTTGGCTGCCCAAGGGGGGGGGGGGGGTAAACCGCTGAAACCCCACCCCCCCCCCTAGATCCGCCCCCGTAATCCTATATATTTGATGAGATAAATTCTGGAGCGACTAGCTGTCCAAAGTGCAAAGGTCCCGATATGATTACAATACTCACCACAGACCTAGCCAATAATACGACAGTGCATCCTCTGGATTCAACTCGATGGCTTGCTGTAAAAGAACACAATGAGGGAACCTTTATTAGCATGTCGTGTACCTCTACCTGTATCACTATGAACATGACGGACAAAATCTACAGTTCCACATTCTACCCCTCAACAATTGCTGTGGTAGACAAAGGAACATCACTTCACTCAGGCGCGTACGCAGGGGGGGGGGGGTGTTTGGGGGGTTAAACCCCCCTTTGGTATTTTTATGTGTGTAAACCCCCCCTAAAAAAAACGTAAACCCCCCCCCCCCCCCTTTGGATTTTTTTTTTTTTTTTTTAATTATTAAAAAAAAAAAAAAAAAAAAGACCTAAGAAAGGTGACCTTACCCCCCCCCCACCAACGGAGCAAAATGTCAAATTTTCAAATTTCGAGACCAAAAAAAAAAAAAAGTGTCCTCTTACCCCCCCCCCCCCCCCCCCCCCCCCCCCCCCCCCCCCCCCCCCACTGAGCGACTTTTCGGCTGGCTGAGTCGTTGCGATTTTTTTTTTTGGACTCCCAACAAAACAAAAAAAAGTGTCTGCTTACCCCCCCCCCCCCCCCCCCCCCCCCCCCCCCCCAACTGAGCGACTTTTTGGCCGGCGCGATTTTCAAATTTTCCTGAGTCGTTGCGAAATTTTGGACCCGATTTTAAAACCCCCCCTTCAAAAAAATCCTGCGTACGCCACTGACTTCACTGCTATTATGCAAAAATGTGTAGAACAGGTGAATATGCATGTGACACCTGTTCTACACATTTTTTGCATAATATCAGTGAAGGGATGTTCCTTTGTCTACCACAGCAATTGTTGAGGGTAGAATGAGGAACTGTATATTTTGTCCTCTTTCTTTGTCCGTCATGTTTTTAGTGTATATTCCAATACACCAACATTCACGACAAATGCATACTTGGTATAAAGTCCTAGGTATTTGGTCAGTCAATTGATGTCCCATTGTTAGGAAGCATAATATAGAGTTACAAATATAAATTGATCAAAAGTATATACATCTAAATTTACTTCACTCTTTGGTAGAGCTAATTAGAGATACAATCTCTAGACATTCTAAAATCTTATATGTGGTCATTATAACGTATGGGATGACGTAGCTTGGAGAAAGGTAAGCGCACTTAAAATAGCACAGTCAGCATGCTTGCAATACAGCACTCTCGGGCTCGCACTACCCAATACTATACCCGATACATTCAATAGCATTTTAAGGTAATTGTCATATTTTCATTAAAGGGTTTAAAAATGTTTCCAGTTTTACAAATCTGAGATGCATGGCCTCACGTGTTATCAGTGTCTGTGATATGGTGTAATATTTAAGCCCTACAAAAATTGCGCTTCAACATGATCATGAAATGCCTCAAAAAAAGTAAGAATATTTGAGTGACCGGTTTTACCATACTCATTTCCCCCCGGCAGACTGTAGTGTTATAAAAACCGTTGGGAAAACGGTTTTTTAAATTTCGATTTCCAATTATAAATATCTTGATAATCAGAAAGTCGATCGGCGTGTAAAAGTCATGGGATTCCTGACTGACCTAAAGGTTTATAATTATGATTGCATCATGAGCTAAATCCAGGATTTTGTTTAGAATCTGAGGCAAAGATAGCAAAATAGGATATCAAATAGGACATCGAAATGTAGGCAGGTCAGAAAACTGTTACAAAGAAGAAATCTTACCAAGAGGTGCTCCTTGATGACATTGCCATTTTCAATCTTCCGCTTCGTTCCCAAATAGTCACACGTGTCACTCAAGCAAATAGCATACCACTGTAGAAAAGTTAAGAGATCAGATGAAGAAAAAACAGTTTACAGTATTTATGTATCACTGAACACCAACCACGTTATTACAAGGCATGAAATCCCTGCTTGAATTACCTAGCTTTCAACCCTTAACAAAAAAATTAGCCTTTGCCTTTTTTGGGTGGTCCGACATACGTATGCTCTGGTGACAATTATTGTTTTCCTTTCCCTTATCACTCTCTTCTCCTCATTTGCCTTTTTCTCCCTTTTCTTCCATTGCCCTTTCTTACCCCTTCCCCCTTTTTTAAGACTGCCAGAAAGGGGCGCGGCCAGTATGGCCCCCAACTGGATCTGACACTGTTTCTAAAGCTAAAACGATAACGGAGAGAAAATGTCATCTTTTTCAGCATTTCTTACCATTCCTTTTGAATTTTTTTAAATTCCCTTTAAAGATAACTTACATTATTTTTCGAAATGCCGCATTTTCCTTAAAATAACGAAATTAGCAGCTCTGTCGCGGGCAATCCGGATTGGCATGCCCTGCGGTCAGGATGCGGACCGTGGTCCACATTCTGCTCTAGATCAGTGTTTTTCAACCTTTTTAAAGTCACGGCACCCGTTTGAGAAATAAAAAGTTTCGTGTCACCCTCCCAAATTCATCACAGAAGATTAATCTTCCATCACTCTGGTACACGTCAAGTGGCATGTACACACATACGAACACATATTTTCTTCTTAAAAAATAACATTTTTAATCTGATAAGAATGTCATTTTGTATACTAAAAACACTAGAAAAAATTTGATATCAAGTATGCGGGCATGTTGATACCAAATACATGTACCGGTATACAAAAAGTCATTTATTCAGTCACCTCGATGTAGGCATATAAAAATATGCAGGCATCTCGTTGTCCAGAATCATCCTGCTATCTAAATGTTCTGAGCGAGTAAAGCGAGTGAGGGAGGAAAAAAGGACACTTAATAACTAATTGTCTATAAAAAGTTATTTCTGCATGAAAATAGATAATGGATCAAAAAATAGATGAATTCATTTCTCTGACGGCACCCCTAGATAGTCCAAGAAATGCCCATTTATCAGATTCTGCATCGTACATCATTTACGGGCATCAATGCATGCATATCGTTCTAATGCGATTGCAGTTCTAGTTGATATTATTATCACCATTATCAACATCATCATCACCATCATCATCGTAAAGTTTATTCTAGTTGTCACCTTATTGGCAGCAGAGTTCTGGTCGTTTGCCTCCAAGGCCCTCTGAGCAAAGTCGAACGATTCGAAGGTCAGTCTCTTCTTGTCATCCTTGCTGGTGCTGAGTAGCATACCCACACAGCGACAGGCCCTGGCAAGGCGCCACAGAAGCTCATCGTCGGTAGTGTCCTTGAAGCGTATCAGAAGATCGTACATCTCTGTAAACTTGGTGGCATCGTAAAGTCGATCCGCTTCCTCCACTGCCGCGACGTTGGGAGAGACAGGCACTGGCTCAGCAACTGGCACCGAATATAATGATAGTGATAACGATTTCAAATCGTACTTCAGAAATAGTGAATTCATTCATTAAAACTACATTTATTTTCATTCTTACAAATTCTTCTCTTGTTTAAAAAAAAAATGTCCTTATCTGATTTTTGTTAGTCTGGAAACTCTTTTATAAACGGAGTGTCATGTACAAAACAGATGGAGAAGTATACCAAATTTGACATCAAAATAATATCATGACTGAAATATAGCTGTGAGAATTGTCAACTACGCCGAGATCAACCGGATTATACAGGCGCTAATGTGCATCACTTGGTAGCGAACATTCGAATCGAATCATACTACGCAGAGTTGCCAAACTATCTTTCAAAAAAGTATTATTGAAGTTCAAAAACATATTTTTAGGGGGAAAAGTATTTTTGCCTTGCGGCACTTTATTGTTTTTCTCCATATATCCTGTCTTGCGATGTGGTCGGAGAGCTTTGTTTTACCTAAAATGAATTTCAAGTCAATAAACATTTAAATATATACATAGATATCCTTCATGCAATATGAGGCTATATGATATATGACTTGTATGCAATTTTAGCAGATGACATTTGCAATACACACAGGTCTCTCCAATGATCTCTACTCTCTATTGAAAGGTGATATTGATGAATTTTAAACAGGTACACGTATGTCTATGATGGTAAATACAAATCATATCATTAACTTACCACTTACTGTCATGTATTAAATCGGATGCATTACAAAGGAAGGGTCATTTTAGCCTTCAATAATGTCCATGGATATACTCGATCAAAATCGAATGTCTTATTCATTTTAAATCAAATTAAAAAAAATTCTATTTGTAGCAACAACCAAAAAATTACTTTCATAACTTCAACTGTTCAAGACCATTTCCACGAGAAAAGACACATACATTGCATACTGTTGGCACAGAAAATGGCCATGCGTGTGATAACATTTTCCCCATTTAGAACAAGTTCAAAGGCACTGTTCGTACGTCTACAGGTATTAGATGTGCATAATCTGTTCAAGCATTCAGTATCGACCTTTGTATATGACCTGCAGAAAGGACATTTACCACATTCGTTAATGGATTACTTTGTTTTAATGAATCACATGTATAGAACAAGAGGGAGAGAACATTTAATGCTACGATTACCTAAATGTAGTACGACACATGGCACTTTTTCAATTTCTTTTATTGGAACAAAGCTGTGGAATAATTTGCCCATAAATATAAGAGAAGAAAGAACAAGATCATCATTTCGTCAAAATCTCACAATTAAACTCCTAAGCAAAGATGAATCATGAGGATCAATAATATGATATTAAGTCAAAATAAATATCAATATGAATTTGCATACAGTTTTTTAAACTAGGAGAACCAATCCCGACTAGCACTCGTGCTAACTTTTGGATCTCCCTTTAACAACATTTTAAGTTTTTAAGTTTTAAAATATCCTTTATTTGAATCACTTATACGCTATTGGAACTCTGTGAATTTCAATTCCAGCCACAAATCTCTACGTATTGTTAAGTTATAGCTAATTCACAGGTTTTTATATGACATGGTATATGATTAATTTAATTTGTACACATAGTTCAACTATGGATATTTTCTTTTTCTTTGTAACTCATGTACATGGATATTTTTGTTATTTTGTTACCCACTTGAATACTTTTGTAACATTGTGTTATGTTGTTGTTTTGTTGTTAATAAATTCAAATAAATTCAACAACAAAAAAATCAAACATTCCCCAAAGGTCAATTCATGACATTTGTCGCTGCTTTCATAAAATCTTTATATGAAGGAGTTTCGTCCAACAATAAATGTCCAACTGTGATTATTCAGTAGGCACACCGATGAAAATTAACACTAGAAACATTTTTCTAACAAGTAAAAGTCCAACAAACTTCTGTTGTATTCAGCAACTCGTATACTTCACCTCAATATCTTTCTTAAGACCTTCAGATAACAATTTGTAATGATAATTAACAAACAAACAAATGTTTCAGCATAAGCATGTAAAATCTCTATAGCTAAATTAGTAAGATATCGATTACTATACACGTTAATACAGATTATTTATGATATGACAAATGTTTAAAGTTAAACTGGATTAAATCTCTATGTGAAGACACCCTGCATTGAAATTATGCAGTGAACTATTAAACAATACACACGAGCAAACTTATAAGTGTGGGTAGGGCAACGTTCAGACGCGGTCCGTTACTGTCAGTTCCTATGCTAAATAACTAACAAAGGAAATTGTTTCTTTCCTGAACTCTTAGTTTTACACTAAATTCGACATGAACTATATTTATATACAGTGCGTTCCAGAAAAAACGAAACCGATGAGTGAATTTCAAAGAGGAAAAAATCATATTTATAAAAAGTTCATTTTCTGCCCTTTCATATGACCCCTCAATCAGGAAAAATGAGCCAGGAATAACAAAGTTCTGCTTGCTTAAAGTAATGCTTGCATTTCCTTAATTTGACTGAACGAATTCGTTTTCACTGGCTGCCTGCCGTATCAATAAAACAAAGTTGACAAAATACTTAACTCCGTTTCCTTGACGATCAGCCATGCATCAAGTCTTTCGTCTCCTGATAATTGCCCCTTTTCAAATCTGAGAGGTGTTCCTTATATTTTTGTCAAGTACCTCTTTTACTTTGTATGATCTCTTTTCATTTTTATTAGTGCCCCTTTTCATCTCTGGTGAGTGGCCTTATACAAATTTGAAAGGTGCCCTATTTAACTTTGCAATGTGTGCCCCTTTTTATTTTTACACGTAGTCCTTTTCTTTTCTAATAAGTGTCCTTTTTCTTTTTACCATAAAATGTACCCCTAATTTAAAACAAATAAGAGTAACTTTTTTCTTTTACTTCACCCAAACTTGTTCGCATTTAAAGATGATATAATGATGTTTCTGGTTAAAGATTTTTTCTTCAATCGTTCATGATTAGATTGTGCTTAAAGACCCCATCAAGGTTGTTTTTTTCTTTATAGATGCGACCCCCGAATCTTAAAATGTTTGCTCGCTCGCTTCCCTTGCTCGCAAAAAAATATTCAGATCATCACAGCCAACTGCGAAGTATGATGCTTAAGCAGTATCTTGGACCATGTAAAGAGAGAAACAAACATTGAAATCATCCCTGATAATGTAATCACAATGTAATGTTATGTTATAAACCAATATAAAATATATATATTTTCGCTTTGAGGTGTCCCTTTGTAGGTGCTCCTTTGTTCTCTCCAGAAAATGCCCTTTATGTTGGTGCCCCCCCCCCCACTTTGAAAGACACTCCGCCGCCCCTGGGGCAACAACATGGTTGCAAGGGATAACAGCGCTCTCCCGGCATTCGAACAAAGGATTTGATAATAGAATCATCAATTAATATTGAAATTGGTATGCAGTATTAATCATTATTTTACAAATTATACATTCGGTTTATAACGAACTACAGCGATTAAAAGTTGAACTCACCCACAGCAGTAGCGATGAGCACAATGATTACAAGGGCGGTCGAAAAAGCTCGACTGCTTTGAAAGAAACCCATGCAAAAACTCCACGAAATAGACGAAGGCATGATTACTTTCCTCAGTATGATTCAACTATCAAACCGTAAAGATAGAAGTGGTTCCCAAAACAACCTTTTGATGTATACAACTGGAGAGAGTCTGAGTTTTATGTAGTGTAAGGTTTAACAACCAACCCCGTGGACTTTTTATTACTTGTACACAATTTCTTGCTGTCTGCTGCCTCGAGATCACTGGAGCGAATAAAGTAACAGTGTATAGCAGAAGTCCCTATTCAGAAGGATTAATCCTTTTTATGGATTCTTCTAACATCCTTGACCAGAAGTGCGTTTCAAAGTCGATATACTGTGGGCATCATCCCATTAAATCTTGTATCCAGGCGTGTTCTGCTACTATACTGAATGAGATGAAATGCCTAAGTGCTATTTGACGAATATTTTTCGTTCAATCTGAAGGCAAAAGAGATTATATCTTGTCCGCGGTACAATTGTATAGCAGGCAAATGTTGTTTGTTGGGTTTGGGGCCGTTACCCCGGTAGAATATAATTTGCATAGGCAGCTGGTACAGGTGTGCGAGCTCCCGCCACGGAGACCAGGGCGTGGCATCAGTGTGCAATTGAATCATTCTAGCTTGAACTTTCAACAAGACAACTTTTATTTACAATGAAAGTGCGATGTGTTATGTTATGTTACAACCTGGGTCTTAATGTTTTCCAGAGTTTTTATTCTCATTGAGATTTACCTGTCCAGTTTCCTGAAGGAAACGAGAAAAAAAATGTTTGTTAAACACTCATACTGAATAAACGGCCGGCTCCCAGTTGTCGTTTCAGGTTATCCTAGTCGTTATCAGGCTATCCCACAATAAGTGAAGTGTATTATTGTGTTATTTGTTTGTATTGTGAGTCAATGCCACACTATCGACTTTGAAACGCACTTCTGGTCAAGAATGGTAGAAGAAAATATGTGAAATTATAGGACAGACGGCTTTCTCATATTTGTTAAGTGAAAGTCGGTCGACCAACCCCCCCCCCCCCCCCCACCCTCCCCTCATCGTAGTTGTGTTGGACGCGGGGTTGGACGAGAGCTGAGATTTATATGTGGCCAGTAGTGAAAATATTAGTAGATTAAATAGTTATTCAACTTATCAGCCATATCTTGAATGTTTGATGTACTTGTCGATCGAATGAGAACGAGATGAAGTTGTCCCGGCCCCCAGCCCCCCCCCCCCCACTCAGTGTTATTTGGGGTACGCGTATGCATGTTCCCTCCTTTTGAAAACACCCCCTAAGTCCAGTGTGTAAAGTCAATACGGGCCGGATTTTTGTGTACTACGAGCCGGACTTTGGTGCGTGAAAAGTACACCTTTACCGGACATTTTGGGAACACGCATGCGGTCCCTCCAACCCCGGAGTGGGGGTGGGGGGGGGGTGGGAAGTTGTATACTGAAGACAAAGTAAAATGTTCAGTCAAATAGAGAGATTTCAGCTCTTTAAACAGTATAATCATTGATTATGACTGTGTACTGCGCGCAAGATAGTGGTCAGTGTAGTGTGAATTGCTGCCCCACCCCATATTCTAATACAGTCGATTATCATTCAGATACGTAAGAATTCTACCCTGTATTTAAACTACTGAGGATGTTTGATAGGGCCTAACTCGGCAGTGCTTTTGTCTCGGGTCAAGGTTTCGATCGAATGGAATGGACAAAGAAATATATATATATATATATATATATATATATATATATGCATTTACAATAGATTGGCATGCTGGACAGCCGGACACGGCTCAAACATTACTCAATGACCCTTTTATACTGAAGAAAAATGGGGCTTGTTTTATATCTGATGCAAGGGGAAACTGTTGGAAAGTCAATCATCTCTCTCTATCCCTCACTTTTTTGTTTTTTTCCGTAGTGTTTGATATTTTGATTTCATTCAACATCAAAACAATACAAATAATTCTTCAAATAACAATCCTTTTTTTAAATTATAATAACATAATTTAACTAACTAAGAAAAAAGGAGTAACCTCTCGTACCTGAAAAAGGGAATTTATGAGAATGGGAAGGGGCTCTTTTTTTATAAATATTGGCACTTATCATTAGGAAAAGGGGCACTTATTAAAAAGGAGCGCTTATCCGAGTTAAAAAGGGGGTAGTTATTTAAAGCGGAAGGGGCACTTCTTACAAAGAAAAAGGGGCACCTCTCAGATTTGAACAGGGCAATTATCAAAGGTGAAGGGGGCACTTGTAAAAAGTGAAAAAGGAACTTCTTGTATATAGTTGAAAAGGGGCACTTCCTAGAGATTAAAAAGGGCACTTATTGCAAAGCAAAATGGGAACTTTTAGAAGGAAAAGGGGCACGAGTCAAAATAAAAGGGGCACCTATCAGAGTTGAAAAGAGGAAGGGGCACTTTTACAAAGTAATAGGGGCACTTGTCAAACTTAAAAGAAGCTTTTTTTTTCTTTCTTCATATCTATATCTAACATAATTGCCAAAATCAGATCGCAGAAGGATCGTGTAAAGTGCGCTGAAGATTAGATTCTAACTTAGGTATAACACTTCTGTCTCCTGCAACCCAGTATGGCATGTTGTATATTGTTAATTTCAGTGCTGCATTATATCCCCATCAGGGGCGTAGCTATGACCGTTCGAATGGAGAAGGGGCAGTATTAGACAAGCTAAATGGGGATGTAGCATGACGAGACTTAGTCCAGAATCTGGCCTATTCAATTTTGATCTCGACCACACCAACGCTTTTTTTTTCTTCAATGATATTTTATTTTCTCCATTGCCTTTTAACAAACAATAACAAAAATAACAAAATCAATACATAAAATAATCTGCATGTTAATATTATTATATAGAATATGAGTTTACATTCACATCTAAATAATACAAATGAACTTTTTTCTATTTACATCAAATACAGCATGAAACATGCATGCATGAAGAAGGCATGAACATAAAAAGACATTTAAGAGAAGAAAAAGAAGAAGAAAAAAAAAAAGAGAGAAAAAAAGAAAACGCTACCTCTCCCTACTTACATGCTACCAGCCGATGATGGCGTGATCATTAAATTAGGACGCCCGACGGCGAATGAGTTTGTTGATAACGCCAGAACTTCGGTCTAGCTGTTACGCGAACGCTAGCTAGCTGACCAAGTTAATCAAGTCTACCACTGATCTCTACGGAAAAATCCCTAGAGATCAGTGAAGTCTACTCGTTTACTTGCAGTTGTCCAAAAGAAGTCGTAGATGGCGTTAACCAGTATTTTCCATGCTATGCCCCCCTTTAACAACAAATGGAAAAGAGAAAGTTACATTGAAGCAGTACTTTCAGTTATACAATATATAATTCAAGTAAGCTCAGGTTTCAAGTTACCTTTAATTATGATGTGTAACTTTTATGTCGTTCTTTCATGCATCCAGTATATAGTGGTAAGTTATGATGAAGATAACTGAACTTGGGAATTGTTTTGGAAAAAATGTGTTTATAGACCTTGTACATAATTCCTTTTTTTCTTCATGTTTGTAAAAAGTATTGATTTAACTGAATGCGAAGAAATAACAGAATAGGAAGAAATGAGATATTGCATACAAGACTCTAATTTGGTCCATTGATTTTGTTTTAACCTACCGACAGACACGACATCATGATTAGGAGTATGGTGTCCCACGCCCCTATCCCCTATCCCCACGCCCCCCCCCCCCCCCCACTCGCTCCTCCAAACAAGCGCCGCCCTCTTCGCTACAAAGTACTGCTGACGTATTAAAACAGTATCCCCCTTGCCAAAGAACACCGTAAAAGGTGCCCGTTTCTAACTGATCGTTAACAGTTTGGTAAATAAAATATCATAACTCTGTTTGTTACATAATGGTACTATATCCCATTTGCAGGCCAAAAGAATGAAAAGGTTAAATCACAACATCTGAAAGTAAATACTAATTTAGAACTTCCCTAACAAAAAAAAAGGGGGGGGGCTTGAAAATGTCTTTAAGTGGGAAAATAACGACTATGAGTTGTCGAATCGACTTAAGAGCCATATAGCCAGTAAGTAATAGTTTTCAGACCGAATGGTCGTATGTTTTATGCTGCGCAAAGATTCAATCAGTTTGACTTTGGCCATTAAAGAGGTGGGTTATTGATGTAGACAAAATGCTCATGTACCCTTTACAGCTCATTTTATGTATATTATTACCAAAGATGAAAAGAAGCCAGTCAGCCACTCGTTTCGTTTTGTTATTACCTGAGAATCATTCTACCGTACCATAATGCGGTAGAATGATTCTCAGGAACGATCCTCCCACTGGGGTTTATGTTAAATTTCAAGCTTCACCGTATTAGTTCAACACTCGGGCTCTAGCTTTAGCGTACAGGGCGCACTGTCTTCGACTTCCGATCAAGTGTCATGTTTTTTTTATTATTTCATTTTTTTTGTAGATATAGCCCTTATGAATCAAAATTAAACTTCTGTAGAGGGCCTACGAAGAAAACAGTGTAGAATTCGAAAGTGTGACCAATTCTTCGCACTTCAAATTTCCAGTTTTCTGGTAAGTCGATGTTTTTCTTTCTTCTTTTCAAAGGAATCGTTTAACAATGTTAAATCTGATATGCACGGCCCTACGTGTTATCAGTGTCTGTGATATGGTGTTATGAAGCCCTACAAAGTGATCAAGAAGTGCCTCAAAAAAGTCAAAACCTTTTGAGTTCCCCAATAGACTGTAGTTATGAAAACCGTTTGGCAAACGCAAAATTTGATTTCGATTTTCAATTATAAATATCTTGATAATCAGACAGGTGATCGGCTTGTAAAAGTCATGGGGTTCCTGACTGACCTAAAGGTTTATAATTATCATTGCAGCATGAAGTTAATCAAGGATTTTGTTTAACGGATCTAAGACAAAGTTACCGGATCCCTCTTCCCTCTTCCCACTTGACCGAAGACCAGCGAGAGCGTAGGTCTGCGAGACCGGATATGAAAAAGGTTCCGCGAGAATGAAGGCCCGCGAGGCCGCACATGAAAATAATATGCAGCAAGCAATATTTTATATGGGCCGAGTTTCGGCTGCGTGTGGTTGATAAAATACACATCATTATGTCGTTTGCACAGTATATTTGACTGAAGTGGCTAAACAGTTGTGTAAAAGAAATGTGCGCGCCCGGGCCCCCTCTCCTGGCCAACAAAAAGGTACATTGATTTTTTTTTTAAAGAACAAAGAAGATGGGCTCCCTCCACCGGGCTCCAGGGGAGGGAGGGTGTGTAAAAAAAGTGCCTTACTTCCCTTCGTTGAGCCTCCCTTAAAAAATTTATAAAAAAAAAAAAAATTAGTGCTCCAAACTACCCCCCCCCCCCCCGCGCTTAATCGCCGGCTGGCGCTAAATATTTTCTCACGAATTGGAGGAGGAAAAAAATGAGCGCTCATTACACCTGACCTAACAAAACAATCAGAAAAATACCCAAATTAAAGTTTATGAGATCTAAACAAAATTATTCAGTGTGCTCATAGGCAATTTGCTTCACGAGGAGGAACTAAAATTAACAATTGCGACCCCCTTCATTAAAGATAGCGCTCGAAATTTAGGCAGGTGAGACATGCAAATTCAACAATTTAACATTTCCCCCATTATCATATCAGTCTGTAATAAACTAATAAACCTTTAGAAATACCCGGCCAACCGCTGCAAGACGGCCTGAGTACCGAAGCTGTGAGGTCATACAAATATATTTTTAGAATTTCTCAATTTTTTCTTCATTTTCCGAACATTATGTAATAACTTTGGGGAATTCTTTTATAAGAAAATGGGGAATTTAAAGACTGCAGGGGTAGATGTTTAGTCTAGCCTAAATTAATGCTCACGCAAGGCCAGGGCCAAGTCATACACACATACAATTACAGTCTCTGAGAGAAAGGAGTTATCGAACAATGATTTTTAAGTAACTGATGTTTATTCACAAGAAACATGGTGGTGATATCCAATATATTTACTTGCCACAACCTAATAACAGTTACACTTAACTCACATTTATACTAGTTCTTGCCCTTTGGCTAATTGATGATGCTCCCGAGCAACATCCTCCCAGCTCCTAACTCTAAGGGCGCGTTCATGCTTGATTTTGACGGCCAGAATCAGGCATCTGTTACGCGTTTAGTTTAAAACACGGTTGCGTCTTAGCTCACTTTTGTAGAATCACCGAAAAACGGCGATCACGATCGCCGATCGTAAACTCACAAAAAGATGCGTTTACAATTTGTAAACGCGTTTAAATGGGGTCAACGCACTGACCTCTAGTGGGTCTACGTAGCATGCACAGTGAAGGTTTGCGAATCCAGCTGGAAGACCAATTAAGGCCACACACTGAGAATTGCCTGGGGGAGCCAGAGAAGTAAGCATGAACACTACATCGTGGAACTGCGATCACGATGAGCGTTTACGATGAGCGTTTCAGATCGCTCATTCTGCCTTCAAAATTTAAGCATGAACGCAGCCTAAGTTCTCACAAAATCTGTCTGTCTCCAAACTACCTCGGCCTCAGCTCCAAACTTTTACACACTCCCAAAAACCTCGCCCAAATTAAAGCTAGTCTCCAATTCAGACCTCCTTTTTAATCGTTCGAGCATCCAATTTCTGTAACAATTACAATAAGTTGAGGGACATCTCCATAGAGGCCAAGCGTATTCAAAACGCACCACAAAAGGGCGCACAATCAGGTATGGGCTTTTACACACACTGTCCATTTTACGAGCTCATATCTCCCCGAATATATCTTGATGTACAAAAGAACCCGATTTTAATGAAAATTCAGGTATAAGACTTGCTGTAGATGCCAAATTTGTCTACTTTTGTGAAAGTTTTACATAGGTACCTTTCGAGTTGAAAAATAGCTTACAGGGCACTTTCTAGGGCAATTAGCCTGCCACAACACGCGTTTTCACATTGACGCGAGGTGGAATATTTCCAACCGGATTTCCAACTTTGGCGGGGCGTTTCACTGTCGACACGTTGTTCATTCACAAAAAAACCTACATAGGTAGTTGCAACAGATCCTTATGCATATTCATGAGAAATTTCGTGGCAATTTGCAAAAATTCGCCATAGGTACCTTGTCAATATTCATAAACCTTGTCAATCCGACTAGCTAGCAAGGCCATTTTGCCCATGCCATAGGTGTACACACAATAGCATGCGCGTGCAACAATTGTAATACGTGATGCTGATTGGATAACTATCGTTAGAGTATGATGTCGCATAAGGTTAGCGCGTGATCACTTCATAAATATTCATTCCTTATGACCTCCCAACGGCTCTCAACGGCTGGCGCGCGCGCGAATTTTTTTTCCGTACTCGAGAGGGCAAATACCCCATGTGCGCATGCGCGTGGACTTGTGATTTCTCTGCTACTTCCCATACGAAATGTACATGTATTCGCATGTACTGTGCACGATTCGCGTTCTACGAGTAAACGATGGCATAGTAGTCTTCAAACACAGACTCTGATTTGCCAGTTTGACAAAACAATTACGCATATATCGTGCGTAGCAATAGTACTAGTATTCAAGTCTGAGTAGTTGTATGATTCAGACATTTTAGTGCTTACAGAAATGCATCCCAAATTGAATAGCTAGGCCTAAGTGCGGAATGTGTCGAATCAATTTTACAACTGAATATTTGTCTTGCTTTGTCTTTCCGTTCGTGCCCACAATCAAGATGATTGAATCATTTATTTCATCATGTGTGTTTGTTCTATCACGATTTTATTATTAATTTGACCATGGATTATACTGACAAAGGAGTTATTAGACCAAAGTTAGAAATATTATTACAGAATGACGGTTTTGAGAAGGCCAATAAATGACCTCATGGTGTGTGGGTTTGTTCAGAGCCAGAAGGGCATTCGTTGTGTTAAGAGTTAACATCCTTCTGGCTCTCAGCAGACCATGATTATAAATAAAAGTAATACAGAGAGTGCGAGCATACTGGAGGGAGGGCTAGAGAGAGAGAGAGAGAGAGAGAGAAAGAGAGAGAGATATGGAGAGAGAGAGAGAGAGAGAAAGAGTGTGAGAGAGCAGTGGCACAATACATAGGCCTACCATGGGGTCTGGAATCATTAAACTACACAAACTTGCATAAAATCACTACTCATCAATACACAATATATTATTATGTCCTTGCAGACTACTATACTACACTCTACACATTGAGATGCATTTCTAACGCACGCACCAGTAGGGTCTGAATCATACATCTACGCAGACTTGAATAAAGTACTTCTCAGCACACTACTAGTATGTTGTCAAACTGTCAGATTAGCGTCTGTGCTTGCAGACTACTATACCATTCTATACAAGTTGGCGACTTGAATAAAGTACTTCTCAGCACACTACTAGTATGTTGTTAAACTGTCAGATTAGCGTCTGTGCTTGCAGACTACTATACCATTCTATACAAGTTGCAATGTATTTCCATATGCACTACTGGGTCTGAATCATACAACTACACAGACTTGAATAAGCACATCGCGACACATACGCATATTGATTTGTCAAACTGGCAAATCAGAGTCTGTGTTTGAAGACTACTATGCCATCGTTTACTCGTAGAACGCGAATCGTGCACAGTACATGCGAATACATGTACATTTCGTATGGGAAGTAGCAGAGAAATCATAAGTCCACGCGCATGCGCACATGGGATTTTTGCTCTCTCGAGTACGGAAAAAAAATTCGCGGCGCGCGCGCGCGTATGCAATGTGCACACTACGCGCTAATTGGTTTAATCTGTTTTACATTGCGCGTATGCGAATAAGGTCAACTCGTGATAGTTATATGAATATTCATTAATCAGTACCCCCAATGGGCTCTGATTGGCTGTATGTAAATGAAAACAAATACGTCATACCTCATTAGGTTTTGTCCCCTGACGCGTATTAACTTGTTGTAATGAAGAGCATCAAAAATAATGTCCAAAATAATGTCGAAAACCAATTGAATATGTTAAGTATAGGCTGAGATATGACCATCTAAATCAATATAATCCCATAGGAACTCAGAGTATATAACACTGAGCTCGTATATTATATTTATGCATACAAAATACTGGTGGCCCCTCAAACATAAAATCTGGGCACTTTTGGCATATTTTTTTCTATTTTTAATGCCTTTCTGTTTCAGCATGAAATTTTACCTAAGATTCCGCATTTGGTGACTAGAACACTAAAAAAATTCAACCGATTTTGGAATTTTTGGGGGGCGTCCCCCCCCCCCCCCCCCCCCCCGTGGCTACGTGCCTGGTAACGATGGGAAGGGAACTACTTGAATGATGTATCTCGCCTCCATCATTAAACGTTCAATAAACTCATTAATATTGATGTCCATCAGAACAGTTACATAACATTTATGACGTCATTGTCTTACTATCCACTTATTATTTTCTTTATATATTGATAATACAAATTCCCAATTTTCGCCCTAAAAAATCTGATTTCCTCACACCAGCATCCGAGTTATATTGAAAATAATATGTTTTTTTGTGGATGCACTAATAAAGAGTAATTATTTTCCAGTGAAATCATGAAAAATGTGAATTTTGATAATTTGTTTATATAAAAATCAATGATGATGACAATACAATATTCAGAAAATAGTACCAATTCTTCAAAGTTCATAAAAGATTTTATGAAATGTCATGCACGCTATACAAATCATATAACCTGGGCAAAGGCATGGAAAATCACCTTTTGGGGGGATAAAAAGGGAAATTAATGGATAAAAATATATAAAGCAATCGATAAATAGAGACATGACGTCAAAAACTGATAACCAAATTGGCAATTTGTGTAGTGATATTTTCTAAGTTCCATAGGTTTTCATACCTTTAAAAAGATTCATATCTTCCTTATTTAGTAAGGTTATCCGTCTACTCATTTTTGTTTTGCTCTGGTTTTCTTGTTTTCCTGCATCTATTAAAAGCAAATTATTTTTGGAGTGGACTTACCATCGTGATTTTTCGATGGTACATGTAATAAAAATATCTCCGACAAGTAAAGTTGTTTCACGAATCACTCTCAAAGTGCATCATTGACCCATGACATGGCGTACAAAGTAGGCGGAGCCACTGCGAAAATATATTAATTGACAATTTTGATTGGCTATAGATGTCTAACCTCGTTTGATAGAAGACTCACCATTGGTCTTGATTCCGCACTCTAGTTTTAGGGAAATTCCCGGAAGTGTACCGCGCGGATTTGGAAGTTCACAATATTTGTTCTCTTTAGTTAATGAGAGAGGCCTTTAAACTCCGTCTCTATTACATTTGGATCTGACCCGAGCCGTCTGGCATCAGTCACGATGTCTTGCATGATGTGCATGGACTTCGTATCAGACCTTATTATTAGCTTGGATTGAGATTCTAGTCTGATCTGTTTCTTAACATAGACATTGCTGGACGACAGTACACTGCACACTGCAGAACTATACAGCAGGGTACAGTCCCGTATATTGGCTGCTGTGCATGTGGCTGCTACATAGTACATGCAGATCGAGGACAAATCGATTAGACGCAATTCCCGTCACTGCACAGCTACGTAAAACTCAACCACGATGGATAATCAGGCCGTGAAAAATCTTGGGTTAAAAATAGGAATATCCTCTGCAAAAATATTGAGGTGAGTCAGCTGAGCTGCTGTGCTAAAACTTTGATATAGGCCTAGCCCTAGGCCTATAGTCTAGGCTAGCAAATGATACCAATTTGTAATAGTAATAGTTACAGTATACAAACTGATTATACAGTCGGCTTAGCCTTAGGCTTGCGGATGCACCATGTGTGAGAGAGAGAGAGGGAGGATTGAGGAGTCCTGAAAATGAAAAGGACTCTCGGTAATCTTTCTTGAAGGTGCAATTGGTGTGTAGTCCTGAAACTGATTACGTTTAGCATTATGATTTTCAAATAGAATAGGTGATTGACGACTGGAACTCTCTGCCTGAAGTAGTAGTTCAGGCTCCCACCATAGACGCCTTCAAAACCAGGCTTGATCGTTGCTGGAAGGAACAGTGTCATATCTCTCAATACTCGAACTGATTTTTTCAATTTCTTTGCTCCTGGGACATTGTACATGGTACATTGTCCAGTCAAGATGCAACCTCTTGCCCCTCTGCCTCCCTTGCATATAATGAGAATTATTATTAAAGAGTATGAGTAAAAGAAGATAGACCTGGAAGCTCGACTGCTGTCTCAGCATTCTTCCAGTATTTGCGGTAAAGGTAAAGGTAAAGAATACTAAGGTTTAATAGAACGAAGCACCACTCAATGTAGACCGAATTTTCCGTCTCTTTCGTTCGTTAGCCTCTTATTGGGGTAGGGTCGGCCGGCTGTCTCTTTAGAGACGGAAACCGTCTATACACATTCCCTTGATAACGCCACGGCCATTTCAGGCCGTAGCGTTTTGCCCCCAAAATCCCCCAAAATGTCATTTTACCTCATGCATTGATTATTTAAAATTAGGAGAAGGTTATACTACATAATATACTATTATAATATATATATATATATTATACTATATAAAACTGTGATAACGCCATTACGAACGTGTAGATGGCGCACAGTTTTTCCTTCATAATCGTTTTGCCTTCGGTGTAGACTAGAAGGGATGAGATTGATTTAGATGACTCCGTGCGCAGCGAGAGTTTAACACGGCTTGCAAGATTTCAACATGGATGTTGATTTTGACCCATAATTTCCTTAAAAGGGACCATTAAACGGATTATTTCAGTCAAGTTGGTAAGTGGAACCGATGTAGTATAACCTTCTCCTAATTTTAAATAATCAATGCATGAGGTAAAATGACATTTTGGGGGCAAAACGCTACGACCTGAAATGGCCGTGGCGTTATCAAGGGAATGTGTATAGACGGTTTCCGTCTCTAAAGAGAGAGCCAACCCTACCCCAATAAGAGGCTAACGAACGAAAGAGACGGAAAATTCGGTCTACACTCAATGAAATGACCGAAAGTTTCAACAGGATCACCTCACACTTCCGTATACTGATGCTGAGGCTGAAGACGTCTAGACTCCACTAGAGTAGGTACTCTAAAATGTAAAATGTTAAGAGTACTATATATATAGACCAGATCTAGGGTTTTGGGGGTAGATTCAAAGGATAAATAAAATAGAATTATTCATTGACTTCAACATGTTCCAAGTCAAGCCTTAGCTTTTCAATTTCATTAACAGGATTAAAGTCATGATTTTTCAATCCTGACCTGAAAGTTTCATTTGTTTTTATATGAGTTTAAAAATATAAATTTAAGTTTGGTCATCAAAAAGTATTCAGCATTTAATGTTTGTATAATGTCTCTGCCTTTCTTTCAACAAAAAGGAGAGCCCAGGAACTGAACAGACTGATTCAATTACGCTGCACGTCCTTCACACTGAGTGGTTCTTGTCAGGCAGTCATGTGCTTTGAATTGGCAGCTGCCGAACATAAACATCCCATCAACAAGGTAAAGAGTGTTGATTGAAGGGGATTAAGTCATCCCTCATCATCATCATCATCACCTTATTCTCCCTCCGCTATTACGGAGATCTGCGATCATCATTGACTTAAATTAATTAATACCCTTGTTTTGGTCAGTTACAACTGGCAATACGCCTGTAGGTTTAGACCCTATCCTTTTTCTTTCATCTATTTGATCATTGTTAAGATGAAAGAAAATAGGAATTATGTCTTTCTCCTGTTCTTTTGTTGTAGTTTTTTCTTCTTCTTCTTTATTTGCTTGTTTGGCTCAATTCGTATCGTGTAATTGGTGTTTACAAAGTCATGTTTACAAGTCTTGTACTGCAGTTAGTATTAAGAGTGCCATACAAACCAAGCTGTTAACTACCGGTTGCAACCATTTTACTTTGGAATAGAATGCATGTGATAAACGTTATTCTTCTTATGTTAAAGCCCCACTGTCTAAGTTTGTAGCTACTTGCTCCCTCTATATAGAAAACTTCCCCAATCGGTGCCTGTTGGTCCCCCATGATCCTCTTTTTATTATGTTAGTTGAGAGCTGAGTTAATGAGATGGTCACCTGTCAGTGACCTTGCTGTGTGGTCTAATCCCTTCTGGCCCAGTAGTGTTGACGGTCTTTAAATGAACAAGAAAAGACTATCTGGCTATGTGCTACATGTTCTGTCTGACAGGATCAATATACATATTGTGCTATATATTCACACTGATTCAGCCAACAAATAGAATTCATTGTTTCAATTAAATGTAAATCAGTATCTTAGAATCTGCTACAATATTTGACCATTTCATCCAGGAATCGGCCGTCCAGCTGTCTGGCGTTAACAAGAAAGTCTACGCAAATTCCTTCAAGACATTACAGACCCTCCTGGGCCTGAACCCCACCGTGACAATCAGAGATCTAGCCGTTCAGTTTGGATGTGTAGGAGTAGTGGAACATGCAAACCTGGTCCTTCAGAGGTAGGTTTCGCTAGGTAGTTGAGCAAAACCTAGTGGCATGAAAAAAGACATCCCAAATATATGATTGTTTATCGCAACATTTCATACTAAGTAACTATGAATTGTTATTATTACTATAAAACCTAACACTAAGATTGATAATGATAATAACAATAATATTATCATTGATAATAACAAGAATAAGAGTAAAAATGATAATAATAGTAATAATAATGACAATAATAACAAAAACTGCTACCACTACTACTGATAATAAATATTTCTTATAAAACACTTTAATACCATTAACAGGTACAATGAATGCTTAAGAAACCAAATGATCAAGATAAATTTTGCAATGACATCGGCTCACCATTAGATAGCCCCCATTCATAATACATGTAATTACGTTTGTATAAAAAATTGACTAAGGAGCTGATTTTTATATGAGCATATATATGTTGTACAAAGTTACCAACTACTGTATTAGGAGTCCTTTTTTGTAGGTGCCTTCAGACTCGTGCTAAATGGAAATATGGATCCTAATGTCTATGAATGAGTTCTAATTCTCATGCATTCTTGAAATTAAAAACGAAGGTTGTGTTAATTATGTACTTGAATGACGACCCACAAATTTACCTGCATTTGTGGATGGTCTGGATGAATCAAAAAACATACAGCAAGGTCAAGTTGCTTGCAAATAATGGTTTCAATCACATCTAACACAATTTGCAAAAGTCCATGTTGGTTCTTGTACTATATTTATTTACAACATGCAGGGTTGTCAATTACTCACAGGTACTTCACTTGCACATGGCTAGCATTCTAGTTGCAAAAAGTGAATTAAAGATCAAATTTGCCTCTCTTTTTGACAGCTATCGCAAGGAGTTTGAAGAGAAGGCATCAGAAGCTTCAATAGATGGTGTTGATTTCAGCAAACCTCTATTCAGTGGGGCTGCTCTATACACCATATGCAAGTAAGCTTCGTCCTTATTCACTATCAAAACTCTTAAAGGCACTATGTCCCATTTGCAGGCCAAACAAATGAAAAAGGTTAAATTCCAATTAATTTTAAAGATAATACTTAATTTAGAACATCCCTTATAATGAAAGGGCTTGAAAATGGCTTTTAGTGGCAGATAACAAGCAATAGTTGTCAAATCTACTGTAGTGATTGCAATCATTTAAGTAATGGTCCAATTTACAGACCCTTGTACCGAATGGTCGTACGTTTTGTGCTGTGAAAAGATTCAATCCGTCTAATTTTAGCCATTACAAGAAGTTGGTTGTTGATGTAGTCAAAAATGCTCAAGTATCCTTTTCAGCTAATTTTCTGTATATTATTACCAAAGAAAAAAAGAAATCAGTCAGTCACTCAATAGTGTCTGACAGTGTAGTCTAGAATGTAAACGAGTTTCCTTGCTTAATTTGAATATTAGGACACTGCTAACGTTTGAATTTCACAGATAGGACATACGTGACATATTCATAATTCCTGCAAAGTTCTACAATTTAGATGTTGACTGCAAATGGGACATAGTACCTTTAAAGTTTAACCTTACAGATCTATTTTTCTTTCTGTAATCCACTGCTGACTCTAATCTGTTTTTTTTTTCTGCTTCTATCAAAATCAACTGGATTACTTAACTGCAAATGCAAAAACTTATGTGTATTTCATATTATGATATGACCAAGTGTGTCTATAGCTCAAATGAGATATAAAAGAAGTGACTTAATGGAAAAGAAATGTCACTATGCCTATTAAATATTGTTCCTACTATTACTACTACTACTACTTCTACTACAACTACTACTACTACTACTACATGAAAAAGAAAGGTCACTGTGCCTATTAAACATTGTTGTTGTTCCTACTATTACTACTACTACTACTTCTACTACAACTACTATTACTACTACTACATGTACCTATTAAATATTGTTGTTGTTCCTACTATTACTAAGTACTACAACTACTACTACTACTACTCCTACAACAACAACTACTATTACTATGAATGCGGCCAGGAAAAACAATGGAACACCTGCTAGTCTGCCCACTCCTGCCAGAGCCATGCACCAGAGATGACCTGGAAGCCGTGAATTGCTGTGCCAAAGCCTGTGTGGACCACTGGACAGGACTTGTGTAGTGACTCGATAAGAAGAAGATCTTGTATGTGGTCTTTTCCCTTTCCACTTTATGTTATTTTATTATGATTACATATGTACATTTCCCCCTAATGTTTCTTCCTTTCCTTTAAGGCGCCAAAAGATTAAAGTGGACAAGACAAAGCTTGTTGAAATGACGGGTGTGAGAAGAGGTACTTTTGACAAGCTGTGTGCAGAGATGGAAAAGCACGCCACTCAGATATTCGGTAAGTGTGGTGGAATTTGAGTTATTAAAGTTTACCGGTAGTCATTTCTGATGTCTGATGTCATTTCTGATGTCATTTCTGATGTCTCCCATTGAATTGTTCACATAAGTGTTTATTAAAGAGATGGGGTTATTTTTGTCAGGAAAAGCATACATGAAATGAACACATAAATATATTCTATGATTTTTTAATTTTGTTTTCAAGAATAGTAGTGCACATTGTTCTTGTTGTTGTTTTGTGTACATTTATTCTGGACCCATGATAGATCCAAGCCTTGAAATATTTGTTTAAAATAAATATTGTGAAACCCTTGTCTAGATTGCAAAATAAGCCAAGATGGGGTGGGGGGGGGGGGCGTATCTTTTTGTAGTGTTATGTCAATATTGTGTATAATTTGTTTTATTGTTTTGCAGGTGAAAAGAAGTCTAAACAATCTAAAAGACATAATTCATGGATGGATGACTTAGAGAGATCTTTTGAAGGTGAGAATGACATTTTATCTTTCATACTTTGACTCAAGCCCACTAAACTAAGTTTTAAAATTGATAATTATAAAATATAGTATCATGTGAATTTGCACTCCTGCCAAATTTTGATTGACACTCTCTTACTTTCTTACTCAGGGCCATTCAATAAAAAATGTTAGTACTGTAGCAATCGAGAAGAATATACTGGGTATTAAAAGTCACAGTGTTATATGTACATGTTCATCATTGAAAACTTTTAGGAGGAATATGGAGGAATATAGATTTACTGGAGTCAACCACAAGTGTTATTCTTGTACATCATAGAAAACTGATATCTGTTTTCAGAAAATACACAAAACAGTGAAATAGGAAAATGGTGATTACTTGGATGTCTTTTTCGTGTGCTGTATTCAGACTAAGCGGGAACTTAATATAACAGACAATTGTAAAAATCAAATCTCTGGCTTTGGTTTTGACACAGATGGTGTAAGTCCACCGAAGCAATCTAAAAGCAGCCAGGATAGCAACAGTTCCAAGCAGGATGATTACGAAGAGTGGAAGAGGAGGATTCTAGAAGGTGCCCCTGACACAGACAAGTGAAACGCTCCTCGCAATGAAGAGGATCAGGGGGGTGTTTCACAAAACTTGTCATCAGTGACAAGTGACAGATTTTGTTATACGCTACTGATATCCTTGCTTCTGATTGGTTATCAGCAGTTAGTCATTTGTCATTGAAAAAGGGTTTTGTGAAACAAGTCCCAGGTTTCAAGATTCTCTGAGACATTGCTCTCAAGACAATTGCTCCGCGGTCAATTTCCTGCACAAGTGAATTCTGAAAAGCAGTCTTTGACCAACAATCTACCAAACTCTAACCCTAAACCTGACCTAAATCTCCAGTTGCAATATTTTTGATGAAGCAAGCCCACAGCGATTGTCAACCCTAGATACTTGTTTCTATATAAAAATAAGGAAATAGTTCTCTTTGTTCATTCATTATCTAAAATGAAATATCCTTGTGGCCGGTGGGCTACATTGCAGATTTTTCATACAAAGAATATCAAAACAACAGTGATATAACAAAATAAAGAGGAATAGATAGGATGATGATGTTGTTTTTTAAGCTAATTTGGAGTTGTGGTAATTATGGAAAAGAAATTCACACTGAAATTCAGATTTTTTTGGTCTTTTGACTGGTCCGACGTCACAATGATTCACAACTAATCATGTCTTTTCTGTGACCAGAAGGATAACAACATCTGGGTGTTTTTATTTTTATCTTTCAAATTTTCCCACATCTGTATTCTGTAAAACTGAATGGACAATATACGTAAAGACCACCTGCTTTTCTTGTCTCCCTTGAGCTATCTTTATATACAGGTCTGACTGTACTATATGCTTATAGGTAGGCATGACAGATATTTTTCCAAAAAGCTAGATGATAGATCAAGCCCGATTATGATAAACTGATTCTCTACATGTGGGACTTCAAAATTTTGCTGTTGTCGCATATTTTGTACTGTACATAACCTAAAACTTGCCATGGGCATGTCAGAAAGACTTCACTTTTAGGCGAAATTTAAGTCAAGATTTATTTGCCAGTAAGATAAAGTTGAGTTCTGCATGGTCATGCGATTGCATTGTGAAAGAATTAGTGTGGAATCGATCAGAAAAAAAGTTGATCATGTAGCATATAAGTATTGGTGTGTACGGCAAGGTTCTTGAGTCATCAAAATGATATAAATTTTGGCCCAGTCTTGGTAAAGTAACATGCACTGTACACAGAAAGATGTATATGGGCTACAAGAACATGTGGCATAAAAATCGGGCCTCATTTTTAAACTGTTACTTGTCATATTTAGAATAAGAAGGCATTTGAAGAGCCATGCTTTTCAGGAAACATTTTTTCTCTGATGTTCTTCCACACTTGCATAATAACAACGAAAACGCTTACAAATTATTTTTCACCTCTCCCCAGAACTCAACCGTATCTATCTGTTGATGGACTCCCGTTTGTAAGCTCAGCAACTAGTGTTTTTCTTTTCTTTTTTGTTATGCCAAATACCATAGCTTTATTTTGTATATTCTAGTCTATGTTAGTTTATTACTTTTATATACATGTTATGTAATGTGTCTACTAGGTAATGATATAAAGCCGTTTTATTAGTTTATTATCAGAATCTGTACAGTGTCCCTCAAATGCTCGATTTCATAGTTTACGATATGGAAGTTTGGTTGTTTAAATTGCATTATATGTATTACTCCAAATTGATATAGCATCATTCCTCACTTTCATGAGTTTCAGACCATTGGTATGAGCATTACTTGTACAAGAAAGACTCAATCATGTCAAATTACGACGATTCTAACCCATTGAAAGATTATTTCAATTTTCGATAGACCTGCTTATCTGCCTGTCTGATCTGTATGCAAACATCCTCATGAACACTATCACTGTCATCTATATCATCTGGGAACAAGATAATGAAAATCTGTATAGATCGTGTTAAAAGGAATGTGAGACGAGGGCACTATTGTAAAGTGATAAGATTTTCTGTAAGACATGAACATTTTGTCAAGAATTTAGGCTCCCCCCAAAAAAAATCTAGATAAACAGAATAAAAGAACAGATGAAAAGTCGCCAACATTGTTTAAAGGCACACTTTAGCCGAAAATCTTGTTGCATTTAACAAAAGTGGAAAATGATATCTTGAACTGCATCATTCTTACCAAAGCACCAGCATCATTACTTAAACAATCATCAGGATAAAACTCCTGTGATTTCATTGTTTTTGTATCATTCTTACCAAAGCACCAGCATCATTGCTTAAACAATCATCAGGATAAAACTTCTGTGATTTCATTGTTTTGTATCATTCTTACCAAAGCACCAACATCATTACTTAAACAATCATCAGGATAAAACTTCTGTGATTTCATTGTTTTTGTATCATTCTTACCAAAGCACAAGCATCATTGCTTAAACAATCATCAGGATAAAACTCCTGTGATTTCATTGTTTTTGTATCACTCTTACCAAAGCACCAACATCATTGCTTAAACAATCATCAGGATAAAACTTCTGTGATTTCATTGTTTGTGTTTCAATCTTACCAAAGCACCAGCATCATTGCTTAAACAATCATCAGGATAAAACTTCTGTGATTTCATTGTTTTTGTATCATTCTTACCAAAGCACCAGCATCATTGCTTAAACAATCATCAGGATAAAACTTCTGTGATTTCATCGTTAGTGTCCATTACTTCCTGCTGATATAATAAGTCCATTGCTTGTTTGTATTACTACATGTGTCGTATCAATGTATATAGTTTAAATCTAATGTTAAAAATTGCCTAATCAATGTGTTTACTTTATATGACAATTCCTTTAATTATTCTTTAGCATTGCTTTCTGTATTCATGATGTTATTACAAAATAAAAGGGTAAAATTACCTGGAATTTTGCTTTGGTAGCAGGTGTTTGTTTTGTTGCACATGTCAATTGGAGATATTGTTTTCGACTCTTCCAAGTACAACACTGTATGTAACATTCACAACATTATTTTCAGACAAACAACACATTTTACCACAATGATACAGGATAAAATTTCAGAATTTAATCAAATTCTTGGAAATTGACAATTCAACACGACATCTAATCATGATGTACATTTTATCTTGTGAATTTTACAAATTTGCAACTAAAAAAAAAAATGAATTCTAAGCCTCTGCTAGAATCATTCATAAGGTAATTACTTTTTTCTCCTGTAATAGAGGGGGAAAATATGTATATTTTTTCTTCAATATGCTAATCGAAATTGGAAGAAATATTACCCTGGCAGAAGAAAACTGAACTTTTCAACATCCAAAACAAATGGAAAAAAAATCTTTGATAAAGACACACAGCTCTCGTATTCTGTTCAATTAATTTTGGAAATATTGTCTAATATCATGAAGTAATCTGAAATTTTGAGGATTGAAATAATACATGAATCATTTACACATACAACTGAATTGAAATCTAATTTAAAGTATGCACATTAAATATCAAGCTATCAAGCCCTGGTCACTAGAACAGGAACAAATGTACATATATGTAAATGTAGATTACCGGTATTACTATTCACTGCCATAAACCTTCATTGCAAGCAATATCATTTATATTTCAGGTAATAATTCTAGATCACAAACTATGTAATAATGGACACCTAGGGTCTTATCTTGAATACAACTGATGTACATGACAATGAGGTCATTTTAAGCCCCTTTCTAGCTGGTTGGGGGAGGGGGGCAAAGAACTTCAGTATTGAATTTTCTTCCTATGATATGAAACAGACATTCTAACAATTGATGTAGGAAGGCGATGATGGTGATGATGATGATGATTAATTCAAGATGACAATAAACCTGAAAAAAAATCATGAAATCATTACTGGGAATAAAAAGGGCTTGGTAATTTGCAAGCAATAGCACAAACTTCCACCCAGAGACCTTATCATGAAAATCTAATGATAAGATTATATTTTGTTAAAGATAAACTTGAGTTCTGGTAAAAAAAGAAAATGAATTCTCACAGAATCTAACGAAACTTACACTGAATGCTCAAGATTACAAATAAATGTCATGTGCCAAACAATTTTGGAAGAAAATGTATACTGGCTGAGTAATGAGCATAGAAAGATAAGGAAATCAGGGTAGTACTAGCCCCGACACCATGTGTGTTGTCCAATATACATCTTTCTGTGTAAGTGATTGTTATTTTACCAAGACTCTGCCACATTTATGATGATTTTGATGACTCCAGAACCTTGCATTGCACACCATTACTTACATGCTATATGATCAACTTTTCTGATCCATTCCACACCTTTTCTTTCACAATGCAATCGCATTACCAGAACTCAAGTTTATCTTTAATCATAAACTCTGAACAATTCATCCAAAATGATGTAGGATAGTGGAAAAACATAGATGACTGTTAAAATGGAATACCGGTAGATACCGTTTTCATTGCACACACATAATGAAAATAAATATACCACGGGAAGCTTGAATGATCAGCATGATCATCATGAGATACAATGTATGTATGCATTCAATGCCTACACTCTTACCCTGGTTAAAAGATAGTACAAGATCACAATAATCATGAATTTAGAAGGACAAAAATATATACATCCAACAATAAGAGCAATATCCATAAACTATTATTCCATCATCAAGCTTAGTCTTTAATACACTAACCAGATATAAAAACAAAAACCAAGAATATTTCTGTTACATAACAGTTCAACTGTACTGCACTAATTTACTGAGGTGTATATGCATCTATTTGAACACTTTTGAAGTACGATGGCATGTTGGTCCTATGATGTGCTATGGTTGTCATGGTTACTTGTGTCCCATTGATGCTAGAATTGCTACAGCCTCCTCAAGTACCTGGAGTATTAAGGGGAGAAAGAGTATACCACCTTATGAGTGCAATATAATATTTTGCAAAAAAAAAATTAAAAAATAGGTAAGTTAGGTATTATTTGAAGCATATCTGCACTAGTTTGGCTAGGAGGGATTAGACCTCCCGGTGTGGTCACTGGCAGGTGGTTTAGTTATCTCATCAAATCAGCTCTCAATTAACATAAGAAAAAGGGGATCATGGGGGATCAACATGTACCACTTAGGCATTGTTGGCTGTATAGAGGGCGCAAGTAGCTACAAGTAGTGTAGTCCCGCTTCAATTCAAGCAAAATACAAAGAATTAAATTTATTATCAAAAGGGAACTGATCATGGAACGAAGAATAAACAAAGCACAATATAGAAAAATAACATAGATCGCTAGTAAAAAGTTATAGTAGATTTGGAGAGCATTACATCATAAACACAGATCTGTTGCACCCTTCTGGTTCTCAACAGACATATCGTTTTAAATAATCTTCAAGCATTCCATTAAGATATTGATCATTTATATAGCGATTCAGTCAGTAAAACTGAGTTGCATCCCTCAATTTAAGTAAAAATAAATAAATATAAAAGCAAGAGAGTAACAAAGAAACTAATTCTGAAAAGTTTATCATACAGTAGACATAAGCTTTCCTAAAAATGTACATAAATGTTTTTTGAGGATTTACTTAACCACCTACTACATAGAACCTACCTGGTTATCTTCTTCCGTTTTGGGAGGGTAATCTCGAGTTTTGGTCAGATAAAGTAGAGCCGACTTGTTGTCACCCAGCTTTTGATATGTCTTGCCCAGCATCAACAGATTCTTGCTGTAGAAGTTGGGCGAAACTAGTATTTGAAAAAGCAGAAAAACTTTGTCAATATGTGTTCTAAAGGTAATCTTTCCAGTAATAATCGAGAATAAATTCGAACAGAATCAACTCAAATTCTCTCTATATTATTCACAAGTATATTGAATAAGTAACACCTGTCCAATATTTCTGATACAAATTTGTAACTCCTAACTAAAAAAAATAAATAAAAGCATTCCATGAAAAGTGGACCATAAAAGTTGGAACTGGAAACCTTGTCAGATAAAAGCGTATAAATTATATGCAAAACTATGAACAATGCTTGAAACCTAAAAGACGCCCCAAAATGGAATACATAGTTTTGTCAGATCACTTTGTTCCAACATATAATTTAATACATGACAATAACACAAAATGATCTTTTATTTACATTTTCATGAAATAAAGCTTCACTGTGTATTAAAAATTTGCTTTCATTGTTTAGAAATTTTGCCAAATACATGTACATGCTATTTGTTATTCATCTTGCACAATTAAGACATCAGTGCAAATATCTCTGTGAAATAGAATACATAAAGCATTTAAAGTCTTACCTCACAAGTCATACATTTCAACAACTACATAACTATGTATTAGAGGAATTCACACCTTTGAATGTGTTTGAACAGAAAGATGGTGTTACTGCTGATAATCCTCATCATCAAGTATTGTTTTATGCCTCCCCCCCCCCCCAACAAAAAAAAAATAAATCATTTAGTCTGTATTGCCTAGCATTGTCAGGTCAAAAATATTTTGTTCTTACCTTTCTCTGCAGAAAGAAACATTCTCAGAGCCTACAAAGAGAGACAAACAAAAATGTATGATTTTTATTTTTTTATATTTTTTTTATTTTTATTTTTTCTGATACTGGAAGTATAATCCCCAACGTAACTGCCCACTAGGATATTTACCCATAAAAATATACAAACATACACCTAGACAATTTCCCCTCACCCCTCAACAATTAACGATGACAAGACATGTTGGCTCAGTCGCTAAAAGTGTCTGCCTTTGAAACCAAAGATCGTGGGTTCAAATCCAACCAGGCAGACAACTAAAGCCTTAGTTGTGTGTCAATGTGGCCATTCCCTATCCCATAGTTTTGGGCAGGTTGCAGTGGAAGACATCCCGCCTCTCGGGTAGGATGTTAAATGGTGACTCTAGGGGCAGTGTGTAAAGTGGGCTATTGCTCCGTAGAGAAGGGGGTTTGGGTCAACATGTCAAGGGTCAAATAGGGCGGAATAGGGTCAAAGCCATTCAGCCTCTGGTTGCAAACCTCCAAACTTTATCCTTGCTTTCTTTACTAGCAGTTACGTAAAATATATAAATACATCAAAATCATGCTAAATGAAATAAAATAATTGAAATACCTCTTCATATGTTCCCGAAGGAGGTGAGGCAAAGATGGTGGCAGCTATTTTCCTCTGGTACCATGCCATATCAGCAAATGTGAAATACCTTAAAAAAAAGTAAATAAATATCATTAATCTAGTAAAGTTGAGCCCTCTGTACATTATAGGATCTTACTCACTGACTGCAATCCAATCTTGCACGGAATTACAACATCTTTAGACACATTTATATCAATTTATTTGAATTGCTCCTCGTCGATTTTCTGCCCTATTCTTAACTCCAACCCTGAACCCAACATTATCCCAAGCCTTTACCCTGACCCTCAACATGATCTAAAAGCCTGTTACAACCCTAACCCTAAACCTGACCTAAAATCCTGTTGCAACTTGTCTCTACCCCTAAACCTACATCTTTGATGAAATTCATCATGGAGCCACTATCCCAAGTGCAAATGTTGGGTCACCTTTAGGATTACAATACTTACCACAGACCAAGCAAATGTACAGATGTTGCATCCTTGGGGTTCAATTCAATGGCTTGCTGTAAAAGATCACAAAGAGAAAACCTGTATTAGCATGTTGTGTAACCTCTTCCTGTATATTCCAATACACCAACATTCACAACAAAAGCATACTTGGTAACCCAAGAAAGTCCTAGGTATTTGGTCAGTTGATGTCCCATTCTTAGCAAGCATACAGGTACTCTAGAGTTACAAATATAAATTGATCAAAATATATACCGGTACATGTAAATTTACTTCACTCTAGTTTGGTCTGATCAAAACTTTGGAAGGGCTCAATTTCTAGATATACTAAAATCGTATATGTGGTCTTTAACGTACGGGATGACATAGCTTGGACACTACCAAATACTACATACTTGTAGGACTAGGAAGTGTCAATACATTCACTAGCCTCTCAAGGTTATTATCATAATATCATTACCTGGTAGTTAAAAATCAGAGTTTCACATCAAGAATTATTTTACTATAAGGGCTTAGCTTAAGAACCTGTAAAATCAAGAAGTGGTTTAACAAATGTAGGTGATTATCAGAATTACAGGCACATATGAAATTGGAATGTACCTCATATGATAACTTTAATTTTATTAAATTGTATGTTGGGCAGTCATGTATAAAAATGTACAATAGCAAAATAGGATATCAAATTTGATTGAAGGCATCGAGATGTAGGCAGGTCAGAAAACTGTATCTTACCAAGAAGTGCTCCTTGATGACGAATGCATTTAGAATCTTCTGCTTCATTCCCTCATAGTCGCCCACTTCACTCAAGCAAATAGCAGTCCACTGTGGAAGAGTGAAGAGATCATTAGATGGAGGATATAAGGGTTTACAAGTCTTTATGTATGTATCACTGAACACCAACCACGTTGTTATATGGCATGGAATCTCTGCTTTCAACCCTTGTACAATCAGCGTTTGCCTCTTTGGGTGCTCCGACATACACATGCTCTGGTGACAATTATTATTTTTCTCTCACCCTTTCTCAATTTGTTTAAAGGCTGCCAAGGGGGGGGGGGGGGGTGGGGACTGATTTGGCCCCACCTGGACCCCCAGTTTTTAAAGCTAAATAAATGACAAAAGAGAGAGAAAATTTTCACTTTTTCAGTATTTCTTACCATTCCTTTATAATCTTTAATTCTCAAATTCTGGATTTTCGTTAAAATAAGGGAACTGAAAGCTCTGTCCAGGGCGGCCCAGAGTGGCATGCCCTGCTGTCAGGATGCGGACCATGGTCCAGGCTTTGAGAAGCATTGCTCTAGATAGTCCAAGAGATGCAATTTCATCATAGGTACATCACATGGACATCAATGCATGCAAATCGTTCCAATGCCATTGCAGTTCTAGTCATCATCATCATCCTCATCATCATCATCATCATCGCCATCATCATCGCCATCATCATCATCATCTTCATCATCATCGCCATCATCATCATCATCATCCTCATCATCATCATCATCATCATCATCATCACCACCATCATCATCATCATCATCATCATCGCCATCATCATCATCCTCATCATCATCATCATCATCACCACCACCACCACCATCATCATCATCATCATCATCATCATCACCATCATCTTCATCATCATCATCATCATCATCATCGCCATCATCATCATCATCGCCATCATCATCATCATCATCATCATCATCATCATCATCATCATCATCATCATCATTCTATTTGTCACCTTATGGCTAGCAAAGTTCTTGTCGTTTGCCTTCAAGGCCCTCTGAGCGAAGTCCAGCGATTCGTAGGTCAGTCTCTTCTTGTCCTCCTTGCTGGTGCAGGATAGCTGAGCCACACAGCGGCAGGCCCGGGCAAGGCGCCAAAGAAGCTCATCGTTGGTAGTGTCCTTGAAGCGTACTAGATGGTCGTACAGCTCAGTAGACTTGTTGGCATCGTACAGTCGATCCGCTTCATCCATTGCTGCGACGTCGGGAGAGACAGGGACTTGCTTGACAGCTGGCACCGACTCTAATAATAGTGTGAACAATTTGAGCATCTGATTATGATGACCCATGTTCATGTTGAGTCAGTATAAGGTACAGATTGCACTGAGGGACTTGATGTTGCTTCTAATACATACTTCTAATACAAGTTGCTGGAAATATTCATAATGCTCAAAATCTCAAAATCTTAGCGGCCGATTGCCGCGAAAATTTGCACGCATGTCAAGTGAAGTGTACAGAATAATATGATAATTTCAATTTTTTGAAAGATTCACTCATTTGCATATTTATGGTAATTTATGCAAATAAAGTCATTCAAATCACATTTTTACCCATAAATCATATATTATTCATATTTAAGCATTCTTTTTCACTACATACATTCATTAGACCATTCTAAATAATAATACGACAAAGAAAAATTGGAAAAGCCAGCTTATTTCTTATGTTATCCCTTGTTTTGATAATTTCTTATGTATTTCATTGTTTTTTTAACTTATGTATTTCATTGTTTTTTTAACTTATGTATTTCATTTCTTACTACAATTAAACTATTTTGACTCCCAAAACAACCACCTAAACTGTAAACAAGACCCAATAACCCATGTATGATCTGTTTTTAGGAAAAATGACTTTTCCATATATGTTTTGTACACAAATCACAAAAATGAGCGATTTTCGGGCTGACATGCGAAGACAAAAGGTCACGAGACTTTGTAACCGTAGGTCCGATTTTCAAAAAAATTATTTTAAAAGATGGGCAAGACTCGAAAGAAAAAAGTCAGCGAGCGATGGGGCGCCATCCATATGCGTTTCCAAGCAATCAGAAAAATTGTGGAGGGGGGGCCTTAATGGGCCCCCCCCCCCCCCCCCCCCCCGGCCTTATTAGGGTTAAAGCTCTCAAATTTCAAATGTTTTTAACCTCAATATTTGACCCATTTGTCTCAAGCTTTCATTACCCATTTTTTAAAGCTAATGTTGTGTGATCTCCCTTTTCAAAGGCTGGTCCCACCAGAACAATAAAAATTCATTCATTTCATTTCGAGGGAAATGCATTGAAATAGTTATAGGTCACACCTCAACCATTATGCTACCATCTATTTGGACTCAGTGAGTGATTTTCTTCAGACAAGCCTCTATGATATCTGTGAGCCAATAATGTCACTCCTTTGATGTGATGTCAGTTCATCAGAAGGGGAAGGGTAATCCCATACTTGCTCTATCTGGTGAAAATTGATTCAGGCTAAGTTCGTCTGAAAATAGACGATTAGGTTTAGGGTTGCATTTTGATGTTACATTAAGATTTAGAGTGAGGGTTTGGGTTAATTATAATGTTGGATTTGTGTCCAAGCTGGAAGTTTGGAAATAACCCAGTGTAGGAAAATCAGCACAACTGACAAGGCAATCAATGAAGGAGCAAGTGTTGTACAATAGTGCAATAGCCCTGATGATCGTCACCAACTACCTTACTTAAATTCCTACCTTTTGGTTCACTAGACCAGAGACTGAATCCTCGAGATGCAGCCAGAGACGTTGAGAAAAACGATCCTAGTTTCAGCTTGGAAGAATGGCTGGCACACACCTGCCACAATCTTGATACCTGGTAACAATGATAGCACAATGTGATTTAGGCAATTAGTAAACTTGACTATGAATCAAATATTTGCCATTAAACTGAAAGACTAATGGGGCGTTGCAAGAGCAAAATTTGCAACTGATATTTGCAATCGACTGCGACTCAACTTTCTTGCAACGCCCCACTAGTCTCCTAAATTTTCTAGGATTTAGTTAGGATTAAAGTTTTGACAATAAAATTAAGTTAACTAGATCTAGCTTTTATTTCCCCCCTCTCTCTCTCTCTCTCTCTCTCTCTTACTAATGGGGTGTTACCATCTTATTTCTTGTTTGTTCGATCCTATGTTTGACCTTATGTATGTTTGATCTCATTCTTATTTTTATTCATATATATGCATGATTTATTGAATAAAGAACATATTTATAGTTTGTGTGTTTATTATAAGTTTTGGTAAATAATTTTTTAGTCAGACAATGGTTGGCTTAGAGACACCCGTATTAAGCGCCTAATAAATGTTGTGTATTTACAAGAAAGTTGAGTTGCGATCAATTGCAAATTTGCAATTAATCGCAAGACTTACGCTTGGCTTAGGGGATTTGCAATTGATTGCAACGCCCCATTAGTATTGACTTATGGTCAAACCCATACAAAGAAAAGGGGCCTTTATGTTGAGTTACCTTTAATGTAATGAGAAACACTTTTCAAAAATAAATGTGGTTTTTATCAGCAGGCAGTTATTGTATACAGGTTCAATTCAATTCAATTCAATTTATTTCAACCATAACTGACATAAACAATAATTCTATGAAATATTTAAACAAATATGGGGTTAGGAGCCCCTAAAGAAGTTTGAATACAGACTTGTGGTTTGGGCACCAACTTTGACATACACTAGTACACTACTGATGACAAATATACTGAAAAATTAGAGAAATTAACAAAAACAATCTTATTAAAGGGAGAACAAATATAAATACAAGAAAAAGATTATAAAGCACCAGCCATGAACGCACATAGAACATGGCGTCAAGCGACACTGCGTCCTTAGGCGCCCCTAGCTGGTGCTTTACAGTATTACAAAACATTACAAAACATGTGGAGCAAATTATTCATTATTTAATTGGGCGTGTTTTTTATAATGCATGAACATTTCATTTTTCAAAAGTTTTTTAATATTTATCAACAGTTTTACTTAGTTTCATATCATTGTCTAGGTCATTCCATAACTTACTTCTATTACAACGTAAGGAATTTTCATGATAAAAGTTACTAATCAATTTTGACTGTATTAACAAATTCTACCTTTGAAATGTGAGCGATAGCTCAATACTAATTTGAGCAGTGGTCTCATAATAATAACTGCAGAAAGTTCTAGTCTACTGTATGTGCATCCTTGGTTGAGCAAATACCTTTTCCTCTTCTCTTCTTGAAATATCATAAAGTGACATTAAATTGCAGCCTGCCCAGTTTGTTCCTATCTTCTTCTTAATTTGACTCTTATATACCATCTTGGCAGCTGTATCTCCAAATGTTACAGTGCAATGACAAGACAAGTAAACACCGATCACCAACACGAGCGGTGCGTCATTCCCATATCACACACATACAATCCAATTGACTCACACTGTCACAGTCACACTGTCTGTCTGTAAAACCAAACTATTTGTTTGTCAAAATACAGCAACCCATTCTTTCTCGTATATTACCTTCCACGAGTTTTGCAGTTGTCTCACTCTACCTTGGTACCTGAGTATCTGACTTTGTCCAAAAAGCAAAAAATATCTTCGTAATCCTAATCTTGCAGCCATGGCAATTCGGGCTAGCAGACTGCAGATAGCTGGACGATAATACACGGTGTAAGTATCGACGGGATCGTATAGCAGCTAGATTGCGCTAGAGGTCGCACGTAATTACACATGTTATAATTTTCAATGTTTTTAAAAGATTTTTGGGGTAGGTCTATTTGTTGTTTTTTTGTTGTTGCATGGAAGCTATTTTGGGGGTTGGGTACTGTGGAGGAGGCTTCGAAACGCGCCTATCATCTTATATTCAACATTCTCGCTCACAAAATATAGGAAAGAAAAGAAAAAACTAGAGATGCGTCTCAGCCTCAGTTTTAATCTCTTGCCCATCAAGAAGACGCTATAATATAAATTTGTTTGTTTAATTTTATGTAGTTTTGATTACACTCAACGAGACATTGTAAGTCTATTTTTCACGTGAAAATATTTAATTTACTTGTATCATTCACTTATTTTATTTGTGAATCATATGCATCATTTTTTAGTGAATCCCACATCGAGGCGGCCCGGGCGCCCCCACTTATGGCACTTTTTCAAGTTCGCCCAAAGTGCCCCTTTCTACGTAGGAAAAACGTCCTCTTTGACTTCACATAATTGCCCTTTTTCTTTCAGATAGGTACTCATTCCTCTTTCTATGCCCCTATATATCTGATAGGCGCCCCTTGTACTCTGACAAGTGCCCCTTTTAATTCCTGTGACACTTTCCCCTTCTTATTAATCCCCCTAATATTCACCTCTGATGACCCTTTGTTTTATTGAGACATACCCGTTTTCCTTTCTGATAAGTGTAGGCCCGGATCTAGGGGGCCGAGCGGGCCTTTACCCCCCCCCCTTTCTTTGGCCAAAAAAAAAACTTTAAAAAAAGTAAAAAATGTTAGTGCTCACTACTTCCCCCACCCCCCCCCCCCACACACACACACACTGAGCGAAATATCGGCCAGCACGATTTTCAAATTGATTTCAAATATGGGCCTCACTCCCCCTAAGAAATCCTGGACCCGCTTCTGGATAAGTGGACTCCTTTCCCCTTCTTATAAATTATTTCCCTTTTTCTAATAAGTCTCCCCTTGTATTACTTTTAAGAAGCATCCATTCTCCTTCCTATAATAACTGCACACCTAGTTGACCCTCATAACACGGCTTCAATTATTATTATTGTTTTATATTTCCTTTTACAATTAAAATTACGCATTTAGGTGAAGATCTGAATATTTTATAGACAACGCCTTTTTGGCACCATGTAGCTTCCCCACTCCCCCTCCCAGACCACCATCAACTCAAGCTCCCCGATTATGATGGTTGAACTCTGCATTTATTTATTGTTGTTATAATAATATAGTTAAATTATTTTCACCTCTATATATATATTATGATTATATAACTTAATAACTCATTGTTTTCTTATTCAAATTTTATTGAAAAAATGTTCTTTGTATATATATATATATTTCATTTTTATTATGTTAATAAATGCAGAAATAAATCTGTCTGTGCCTGTTTTTTAACCTATATTTCCTGGACGTTGTCCTCAGCAATCTACTAGACCTTGGCTTCAGATTTCCATCTATTTGCATAGACACAATGGCAACGTCACCTGAAAGAATTTAGTAAATAATCGTAACAAACCTCGTATTTTTAACGGGAAACTCCCACTTAGCGGCATGCCTCGTCGCTACTTCCATACAAAGGTTGGCCCTAGCTGTGTTCCATACCTCCCCAAGGATTACCTCACACGAACTTTAGTCAATGAAAAAAGAAAAGAAAAGGAGAAAAAAATTATATGTCATTCAAACAAGATACAGAACACTGAGCACGCATACAAGAGTGTCCCTTTTCTCTGAATAGTTAACAGTGGTTAATGTTTGCCCCACTATAATGCTCAGTATGATTGTGTCTATTTTGGGTGAACATCTATCATTATAATTTCATGTGATGACAAATGGAGTGCTCTGAACGTGTTTGCCCTACGAGTTCTTGATTAGCAGTGAGTGATATTAGGTTGTACGTGGTAATCATATTCGTAGCTACATGTGCGACGCCACTGATTCGCAACGCCCCTCGACATTTCATGATATTTGTTATAACCGCGGGTTGGATTGGATCAAGCAGGATTGCATGCCTTTATCACAGAGAAAACGTATCCCGGAATATTTCGCTCGGAGCAGTGTGTAAATCTCATCTGAGCTGCTTTTTTTCTTCAGAGGTGCAACTTCTATAATGTAAGCCGCATAGTATGTTATTATGCGGTGACTAGCTTGGAATATATGTGATCATATTAAACTCATGGACCCGAATTATACTGTAAACCTCGGCCAGTCTAAGTTCTTTTGTACTATATAGGTCGATTTTAACAAAAGCGATTTTATCCGAGGTCTCGTTTGCCTTTTCGGTATTATTATAGTCACTGCTAATATTCTTTACACGTAGCGGTCCATTGCGTGTAAAGCCTATGGGGGATTTCACCTGCCCATAAGAATAATGACCAGTGGCTTATTTCACGAGGCCAATTTCTTTTGTCAAAAACAAGTTGAGATCCGGGGCGTCGGGTTTGATTAAATCAGAAGAATCCGGTCTCCTGAACACAAAATCACATTAATGGTACAAACGTCAGCGATGCTGTACAATTGATATACCCTGTTTTCAATTCGAACCATTAGTACAGTGTCTGTTTAGATGGCCAGAGCAAAAGAGAAGAGGATCTTTCTGATTGGATGAAATTGATTCGCCGTCGCCACTTCTACCGTGATAAACGTCTTCGAGGTTTGCTCCCATCAAGAACGCGACTCTTGTCGATGTATTTCATTTTCATGATGTGATGTTTGCTCGGTGGTTATATGTCTTCTTCTTCCTTGGCTTTGTAAACTGTTTTCTTTGTGAACCGAGTTGATCTGAATTGAATAGAACTGAATAGTCATTGGAATAGATAACGACAGCGTATAGCGTATACGAGACCTATATTCGTACGAAAGGCAATCTAGAATCTTCAGACTAGTTTACATAGTCGTTTACTAGATTTTTAAGAATATTATTTTATTTTGGAGTGTTTAATACCAAGGCTTTTAAAACTTTCGACAACTTACCGATCTCTTCTACTTCGGATGAGCGAGTCCTAGTTAAAATTCAACCAGGAGTATTTTGGAGGCTGTCGATCCATACACCCCCAAGCTCGAGCTTATATACAGGGCCTGTCATACTGTGGAGGAACATTATGTCGCATTGTATTTCTTGATCAAATATCCCAATTGCAGGCCCTAGTATTCTGTACAGAACAGTTATATTCATCGCGAACAAAATTCAAGCTACGTTTTGAGAGAAGAAGTTTAATTTTCCAATTTATTTTACTCGTCCATCTGCACATAATCTAACATCATGCAGACTAAATTGTGGATATCATCGTTCAGCTGTGTCCTTGGTTTATGTCTCTTTCTTCAAAGTAATGGCATTTGTTCAGGTGCCAGGATTATCATTTCCTTGACGAATGCCATGAGCACGAAGAGTCATAGCTTCAGTCTCGCAACAATCTCTCAGGGTCTGGTAAACCAGGGTCACCATATAACGGTTCTATCAAGTTCGAACAAAGGCACCTATGGATTCAAAGAGTCTGCCTTTAATGATACCTTGATCTACAAGATTCCCTACACCATAGACGATACGGATTCTCTACAGGATAAATTCACCAGGGTGTCCTTCAAGAAAAGATCCGTTCTGGACTACGCTGAGGTGCTTCCTGTTGCGGGAGAGTACTTCAGCGTCATCTCCACCGGTTGCAGGAGTCTCTTTGATGATCCGTCGCATCTGCAACGTCTCAAGGACCAATCCTATGATGCAATTGTCGGTATTCCCTTCTGCCCTTGCGATGCTCTCTTGGCAGAATACCTGAACATCAGCTTCATCGCGTTCACGGCCACGTTCCGTTACGAAGCCTTCAATGAATTCACCCTTGGGATACCGGCCCCAAATTCCTACGTCCCTTTCCCTCTCATGGAAGCCTTAACGGATGAGATGACTTTCTTTCAGCGCACCTACAACGCTTTTTATCGCTTCGTCTTTGTCAAGTATGTCCTCTATGTCTGGTCCAAACCCTTCGTAGCGATTCAGAAGGAACACGGCATCTCCACACATTTGTCCATTGATCGTATCTCTAGCAAGGCCAAGCTTTGGTTGGCGCATACCAATTTCGCGCTGGATTTCCCGCGGCCAACAGCCCCTGCCTGGATACCAGTAGGTGGCCTCCTAGCAAAACAAGCATCACCACTGCCACAGGTAAATAAACATTTTTAATTTTTAAGAAATACATTTCAGTTTCAAGTGGTGTTATATAAGAAAATTTTGGGGGAGCTTTAATTCAGTGGGGGTACTTGCTTTCATTTTCTATAATGTGCCTCGTTTAAATTTATCATAAAAATTAAAGGGGTCTTAAATTTTATTTATTTGGGGGACTTGGGCCCTCAAGCCCCCTCTAGAACGCATAGCATTGGTGGGTCTAATCGAAATCTGTCTCATTAGTGAAAGAGAGAAATTACCTAAAATCATCGATGCATAAAACTTGAATTCTGCCACAGGTCATCCTACTACTAAACTTTGTGAAAAACAGTTATTGAAATATCAATCAAAAATGTTTTTTTGGCAGGTAAGGTTATAGTTTGTGAGTATTGGTTTGTAAGACGAGATGGAACTATTCAAATAACTCCCATTATTAATTTATTGATTTCTATAGCGTTGCTCGTACATGTTGTTAATTTAATTAAATGTCTTATTCTTACTGGAAATCAGCATAATGTTTCAATTTTCTAAACATTGGAAAAACATGGTTTGGCGTTAGGGGGAAGGGGTTCTCACAATTTTTTAATTGTTAACTCAACTGCTTTTTCAAGACCATGCAAAAATATCGAATAATACATTTAAGCTAAATTTTTCAATCTAGAGCATCTTCAAAATTGTAATACAATATCACAAATATATGAATATGCTTTTTTCTTCTAAATATTTTGTTATGAGGATAACACGGAAAGCAACATCGTGTACCATTATGTTCTACAATTCCCGTCAGTGCTCCTTTTGTATTTTCTTTTCATATGCACTCAGTCTCATAATAACAACATACCATAACATTTCATTCATTCCTTAAGTTAAAATACATCATCCCTGGTATATAACAAAAAATAATATAATTTAGTATTTGCACTTTTTACAACAATTGATGATTTATTTAGTTTGGAGTTAAGTCCATATTTACCACACAAGCACAGGAGAAATGCGTTTTAATTCATTCCTCCGTGCAGGGGCATTACTAGAGAACTTTGAATGGGAGGGTGAAGGGATGAATAAACAAAATTGCCAACATTTTAGCCTAATCCTCCCCCTTCAAAAAATCAAAAGAGAAATAAAAGCAAAATTAAACTGTTCGTCAGATTATTTTGCCGAAAGGTCATCAATTTTTTCAATCTGCCGAAAAACCTTATTTGTTCTTCTTCTAAATTTTAAAATGTTTTTTAGGGGTGCACCCAACCCCTCCCCTATCGATGCATCTGTCATGAAGTATACTATCTTAAGCATGTCAAATGTCTAACCAAATATTCTTCTCCATAAACTGTATAGTTTGCACATGTTCAAACTTTTGACCCGAATAGTCATGATTTATTTCTAGATCTCAGTACAATCGGCATACCAAAAACAAAATGTATGTGAAATATTCCTCCCATGCATATTATTCCATCTGTTTTCCAGAGGATATGAATAAATCATATTCAATCATCTGTTTTGTATCATTAAAATTTGTATTGGTACAAGCCGGTTGGGTAATAACCACATAGGAAAAACATCTCATATGGTATTTCAATATGAACCGCTTGATTTTGAATGTACTTCATGTTCTATTACTAGTTATATCTCCAGACACCATCATGAAACTGGCACCCGAATGACAGGAAAAAATTTATTTTAACAAATTTATACACTTGGGAGCAGAGGTGGCACACTAAAATGTTATTAGGTCAATTTTTTTTAATTTGCCCTTTTTTTGTCCTGTATTTTTTTTGTCCTGAGACTCTTTGTTATTTGTTGATTGTTAACAAATTGTGTTTTTCTATCAGTGAATTTGTCGCCATTTTGTTTCCGTTCCCTTCACCTAGAAATATTCCATTGACCAAATGACTTGGTGAATATAAGAAATTACAACACCGAGTGGAATATAGAAAAAAGGGTTACAGAAACAGAATAAGAAAAGACGTAAAAAGGTAATAAATAGTATAGATAATAAAACAAATTAAGCGATGGGAGAAAAAAGCGAGCAAGACACGAAAACGCTGTTAACATAACAATATCATAACATTAAAAACTATACACCAACAGCAACAAGGAATTCAAGAAAAGCATGCAGTATGCAATATGGCGACCAATTTCGGTTGTCGACTTTTGTGACTTCTTCATTTAAGAGGTGAGAGGCTGGAAAATATTGACATTTCAGCGATATGAATTCTTTGATAAAACCTCAAGGAGATGAGATGATTCTTATATACTAATAACAGACTTTGGCATTTGCTGTAAGTCCTCGCCATGGGATGTATTATTGAATATAATTAGAAATATATTACATTCATAACTGTTCGGAGAGAGTCTCAGCATGGACATTATATTCCTATTTGGGAAGGAATGCGTTTTAAAAAAGCACGAAGTACCCTGAGTCCCAGGGGATGCTATTTCTGTTAATCGCCTGTGGAAAAGCAATTGATTTCCTTACATGTTTCGTTTTATGTCGTCTTTATTTCACAAATCATGATTTAAAAATATATTAAGAATATATATACATGTACATATATAAATCTGATGGCATAGAAAGTGCATAATTACATAAAACTATTAATAATACGTATAGTATTGAGGGGTAAATCAAGTTTTGTTCTACAATTAAATGTTTTGCGAGGCTCACCTAAACAGGCCTAGTCTGCCTAGAGACCTGTGGGGAATTAGGTAGCCCATGTAAACATTGATACAGTGTAGTATTTAAAAAGAAGAACACAGTTCAGCAACGAATTAAAAATTACCCGGGTAACAACTTTCCAAACATTAAGTTTTAGTGAGCAAGTAAATGTATATTTTTTTTTTGCGAGTGATGGTGATCTATACTCTTTATGTAGTTTTTATCAGTCTATATATCTTGTTTTTAAGCATCTGTATAAAAGACATGATATGAAAATATTACGATGATTACATCTAGCCGCTGTCCGAATATTGATGGCTTTAAGTTTCCAGGTAGTCTGCCGAAGTAGCCGGCTAAACCCGTGTAACAATCGTGTTGATGATGCTCAACCCTACTTAGCCAAATTTTGGAGCTTCTTAAAATAGAAGTTCATGTGCTTATTGCTTGAGTTGCAGAAAGAGGAACCGGGACAAGGGGGTTAATAATTGGGTTAGATATTTTCTCGGAAAGTCCCATGTTTTAACATTTTTCCAGACCCAAAACGTGTAGGGTTCGAAGTCAAGTAGAAGCGCACATGTTTTTTGGTGCATCGAATGGTAAAAAGTAAAACAAAAAAATCGAACGAGGGAAAAGGGGAGGAGAAGGGCGACTGAAAATATATGACGATGTTTTTACCCAGTTAACGAAAGTGCACTGGGACAGTGAATCACTAAAAATAATTTCATAGGCGTTTTTTGTTTGGGTTTGTGGGGGTTTGCCGCTATAGATAAAGACGTCAGCACGGTAGCCCGGCCCCCCACTCAGTGTTATTTAGGGTACGCATATGCTCGTACCCTTTTTTAGAAAGCACCCCCTATCTGAGGACTGCCAACATTTCCGAACCCCCCTTTCGCGGGCTTTTCGCGTGCTTTTCCTGCCTTGGAGACCCCCCTAAATCAGGAAAAATGCTCAATGTACCCCCCTAAATTCAGAATAATTTCTCAGGAGTCCAAAGAGATGAGAGAAAAAAAGAAAAACACCCCCTTTTTAAAGAAATCTCCGGGTGAAAAGTCAAATACACCCCTTTTTTTTACAATTCTCGGGCCGGACTTTGTCGCACGAAAAGTACCCCTTTACCGGACATTTTGGCAACACGCATGCGGTCATTCCGACCTCTGAGTGGGGGGGCCGGGCACGGTAGCCCTATATCGAAAGTCCTCAATATTTAGTTTGGTTCATTTTGCGAAGCTATAGTGCAACAAGTGATCGACAATCTTTGTATATTATCAACATGGATGTTACCGTAACCATTTTAAAATCTAACGTTCAGTTCTTGCCCCAAAGTAGGCAAAGTGAGAGAAAACGTAATCCTACACCAGGCCCATACACTCGTGTTTGGTATACTAGAAATTTAGTGAAAATTGCATACCCGGCTCGTCTCCTCATAATTTCCTCATTGCACAATGAAGGATTCACCAATTAAGCAAAATTCCCACTTAGACTAGCCGGTGAACATGGTGAAGGGGGTAACCTTTACCTGATGTTTTTTAATTTTTTATATAGAATTATCTTTCCTTCTCCTGATTCTTTACAACATGGGTACGACACAGGTAAACCAATACACCTTCGTCCCCTCAAACTTGACTCTCCATCGATTTCTTTTTTTCACCTATATGCCGTCAAATTATGATCATAGGCCTATGGTGAATTGAGAATTGAAAATAACCCTTCATACCTCAGCCACACCGCCAAACCAACTCAAGACAAACTCCAAACCGACTGGTGTTTCTTTTTGGGGGGCATACATAGGGGTAATGCAGTATTTTTATTCGGTCTCTTGTCGGTCTGGTGACGGTCTCGTCGGTGTGACTCGGGTATAAACCCCAACATGGCATTTTGAAATTAAATTTCACGACTCAAATTCAGAATCTGAGACTGAAAAACTAATTTTAGTATTTCCGCAGCACGTCTTCGAAAATAGCAATAACCTCGAGAAAGGTACCCCTAGTTTGTCATTTAGTGCCACGAGCAGCAGTGATTGCGGAGAAAGGAAAATTCCGTCTAGTCAGTCAGTCATAGATTTTTGTTGGTACCCTCTTTGTTACCGCATGTATGACCCAAGGAAGCCCTACCCCTTTTAATAATTCCACTGTGTATTGGACGAGGTAGAGTTTCCACAAGGACAGCTTACTTTTGAAATCAAGGATCCGACAAGACTCCTCTAGGAAAAAAATAAAAATAAGATGGAGTGGGGGACTGCCCCCTGTTTGAAGGCCTCCATAACGAAAAATCAATACTAAAAGATACCGCCTGTCTCTACACTACACAGGGCTACTTCTGATCGGGTATATTCTACCCCACCATC